TCACCCACATATGGTTTTAATATAATTAAGTTAATATTGGGTTTGAAGCGGCTCCTTCATAAATTGGTGATTAGGTGGAGAGATGTGATACGGGATGTTCTGTGCCCAAGATACTTTGTCTACTCCTTTATCTTTCCAATCTGCCTTAAATTTGTATTTGGTGTTCTGGGAAAGATGTATGCTGTACCCATGTTGGTTAATGTTAAATTTTACTAAAACTCCTAGTTACACACTTACAAAAACTGACAGTTTCTTTGTTTTATGGGAGAAACTGGGTTTCAAACACAATTAACCTGATTTGAACAAGCTGGAACAGCAAAGACATCTGAAATGGAGTGCATATAATATAGACACACACCCACACATTTTGTTACCTATATTTGAACAACTGTGACTTGTAATGCGAGTTACATATTTTATATTTAATTATTCAGTTTTGGCACTGGTATCAAATATTGTTCGAGTGCTCCCTTATGTTAATTGTAACTTATTTAGGAAGTGTTTTTTGCTTTCTGCAGGTTGATGGAAGTGTTTTAAAAGAAGATGTATTTGCTCAGATTGACAAGGCACTCTCCAATCTTGTGGAGCAAAAGACAGCTTCAGAATCCGTGGCTGCCTAGATGTGACTAGTAGTGAGCTTACACATACTCTACCCGTCCTCTCTTCTTGCCAAAGATTCCCTTTATTTGTCACTAGATAGCCATTTTTATTTCCTACTGCTTGTAATCGTCTTGATTGTTGATAATTCTTTTGTAGAAAGTTTTTGGTTGGTATACATAGAAGCAGCCCAGCTTTCATAAGAACTCACCAAAATTAGTTTTGTTGTAAACATACGACAGAAATGAGGTTTATATCTTGATAAATGAAAGCCTCCATGGCATCGTACATTTTGGAGGCATCATATGACTTTTATATATCACGCTTAAATTCAAATATGTTTTCACTATTTATTGTGAAGAGTTTATAGAATGTGCTTTATATAAATATTGTGACTTCTGATTTGCTAGTTTAGCCTACTGGGAAGCAGTGTGGAAGACTCGCTGGAAGGTTTCTTACTATTGACTATTGATATGGAAATCCAGACTTTATGATCATTGATTGAAGTCAACTTTGCATGAGGTATGCGCAAATTGCATTGATTTATGTTGAATATTTTCTACCTACATATATTAGGTGCACCTGTCCATTTCCTTCTTTTTTCTATTGCTGAGACACTTCCGAAGGAAAGTTCTTTTTTTCTTTGTAGTGGATGGAAAAATTCTGTTGACGTTTGAAATAATTTACAAAGTTTACAATTGAAAGAATATGATTTACAAAGTTGAAAAGTCCTTTGGACTTGTCTCCCCTGATAGACCCTTGAGCTTCCAACAAGGAATCGTCATCGTGAGGATCCAGTTGAAGATGGGGTCAGTGTTGGCTGAACCAAACAAGCCGCCAAGGCTCTTTCCAAGCAATTAACTACCTCTGACATTGATGGTCGACTTCGGCCCTCTAGGCCGACACAATCCACGGCTAGGTACCCTATGAACTGCACTGCCTCTATTTCCACTGGTGTTGGAGGCGGCACATTTGGGTCCAACACCCTGTGGATTTCACCTCTCATAATGTATGGCACCACAAAATCCACTACATTTCTTGGCATTCCTTCTTCATTAGTATGGATGGCTTTGTATCCACTAAGTAATTCCAAGAGTACTACTCCGAAGCTGTAAACATCACTTTTTGTAGTCAATATGTGGAGTCTGTAGTACTCAGGATCGACGTATCCTAAAGTACCAGCAGCCCAAAGAGACAGGTGAGACTCCCCGTCTTGGGGTCCCATCAATGACAACCCAAAATCCGACACCTTGGCTGTCCAATTACTGTCTAGCAAAATGTTTGAAGGTTTAATGTCTCGATGAATGATAGGTGGCACAGCATAGGCATGCAGATAGTCGATCCCCCTAGCTGCATCAAGTGCCACCTGAAGTCGATTTGGCCATGATGCAATTGGAGATGAGCCCTTAAATTTGTGAAGATGGTCATGTAGGGTACAATTACTCATGAACTCATAGACAAGAACTCTCTCTTTTGCATCTTCGTAAAAGCCTAGTAGCCTAACTAGGTGCTTGTGGTTGAGCCTCGAGAGAAACTCAAGCTCAGCCATAAATGCTACATCCCTGTCTTCTTGCTTACGCCTGATTACCATTGCACTCGAGGCGGAAACTTCTGCTCGCTTAATTGCCACCTCTCTCCCATCTTCTAATATTGCATGGTAGACTGTTCCAAAACTACCTATACCGATTCTATACTCTTGAGAAAAGTTGTCAGTCACTTTTACTAAGGCCTCTAGAGAAAATTCCTCGAGGTGTCCTCCATTGCCCAAGCTATACATATGGCTTAACCTTTTTTTCAACACTGGTGGTGCCACTTGTTGATCTTCTGACTCACGCCGTGGTATTTGGGGATTCTCCGCTAGCTCAATAGGTCCTGAATCATGCACCCGGCTTCCCCCACTTCCGCGACATCTACACAAGAAAAAAACCAAAGATGCTACCAATGAAAGGGACCCTAAACACCCTACTACTAACAACACAATCATCTTAGGTGTCCAACCATTGCTATTCTCCGAGGGCTCCAACTTGGAGTCTGGAGACGGAGGAGATGAAGGCGCCTTTGGATCACAACGTTGGCACACCATCATTCCCAAAGCACAATAGTCACCATATCCTGGCAAAGGATCACATGATGGACAGTAACTTGTACAAGGTCCAGGCATCACCCTAGCAAACACCAACTGATTCCCATTAAGAGTGCTATTCCCCCAACACAATACCGAATAATTCGAAGCAACAACACCACAAAAAACACTCCCTTTAGCTACAATTCCAATGAAACCCGTCTCCACCAATGTCGTAGGCATCCTAAAACCGTCGTCCCCCCAACAAACAACCGTGTCATTGACACGCACAGTGCAGCCTCGGTTATCTCCTAATGCTAAATCCTTGAACACACCTTCTGGTTGATTTCCTGCCACACTTCCCCAACAAGATAAACCTCCATTTAAAGATATTGCACAAGCATGTTGTGATCCAGCTGCAATAACACTATAATTCCCATTTTTAGGCTCTTTTCCCACAACTTTACTATCATTCCCTGAACAATAAATGCTACCATTATTACTATCTAAACCACAAATAAACTCATTACCAACAGCAATGCTGGAAAAACTTTTGGTGGAATTATTAGATTTCCATTCCTTCCACAACCAACAATTGAGATTATTAGTTCCATTTACAATCCCACAAACATGTGAATTTCCAGCTTCAACTTCACTCAAAATCGGACCGCGATAAATTCTTTTATGTGACATGTTAGTCCCATTAACACCATCTAAGAACCTCCAGCATTCCATGACTGAATAAGATGATGCAAGAGATTGTGATCTCATTGCACAAAGGAATCCCTTTCCACCCACAATTCTAGAGTATGATACATTAGGGAAAGGGATTCGGATTCCGGTTGGGAAACTAGTACAATTGATGAATGATTGTTTATTCAATGAAGGTACTAATGCACAAACTAGTGTTTTGTTAGAGGTATAGGAAATGGAAACAGTGGAAAGGGAATTGAATTGAGGAAAAGAAAGAAAACAAAAGGCTAAAATGAAGAAAAAAGTTGGGAATTTAAATGGGAAAGCCATAGAAATGATGGTTTCATTGTTATGAAAGAAGAGTAAGGTAGAAAAGCTGAAAAAAAATGAAATTTATTTAAGGGGGTTTTTAAGATGTTATGTAGAAAATTAAGGTATGTTTATAGACCCATTTTACGCGTTAGGAATAATAATGTAAAGAAAAGTTTGTATTATAATTAAATTTGGAATATAAATATAATTATAATAGTAGTTGTATGACTAAGTCATAGTTTGAATGGATCATAAAAGGGGAGACTAATAAAGGACTAAAACAGACGCGTCAACATCTGAGTTACTCGGTCTGTAACTCGTAGTTGCCCTACATGACTCGTGCGAGTTGACTCGTGTGATACATGAATAACATGATGTTCCTTTTTTTTTTTCCTCTTATTACTTTTGATTATACTACTAAACATCGTTACACATTGTTCATATTCTTAATCATGTTGACCATCCTCTGTATCGTATATAGTATTAATTAGCAATCCTCTATATCATTTGTTTCTATAAATATTTTGTAATAGCGTTTTTATTTCCCAAGCAAATCCTAAAAAGTATGTATTCCGTAATTTGTAACACCTAATTTATCTCCGTACATAATTTTTTTAATATTAAGAAGCATAAAACACTATAATTGCTCTAATTTTTATTTTTTTTTAAATTCATAATTGAGTGATATAGTGATGAAATACATAAATATAAGTATTACTCCCTCCGTCCTAAAAAGAACGACCCTTTTACAGGGTTTTCACGGGAATCAAAAAACTTACATGGGAAATACAAGTGTATAGGAAAGCTAACAAAAGTACATTAAAAAGGTAAATTTACATGTGATTTGCAAAAACGTAGAGAGAGAAAGTAATTAAAGTGTATGGAAAAAACAAAATTTACATGAGAAAGCTAATTTTGCACAAATCTTATTGTAAATTGGAGGATATTTTAATGTAAATGGGATGAACATTTTGGGACTAAAATTTGGCCAAAAGGGTCGTTCTATTAAAGACGAAGGGAGTATTATTATTTCCTCTGATGTTTTGTGCTCTGTAGTTATACAAAAGAGTATAAAATTTGACTATTTCAACTCTATTAAATGATGTAATCTAAAATCTATGTACACATAATCACTTCATTCATTCAATGAAAGACTACAATAATAAAGTTTTATGCTTCGATTAGTCCACTTTAAGGATACTTCTACAAGAAAAAACTACCGAGTACATGACAATCATCTAAAGTTGACCTAAAATAAAAAACTAGAGCATACAAAAATTAATGATTAAGATTCAAGAGTTTGGAGTATTGAAAAAGTTTAGATTTTTTTTTTACCTAAATTAAAAACTTTACCAAAAGAAATATAACTTTAATCTCTTATCTCTAAGCCTTTCCTGATAAAGCATCTCCTTATCTTAAGATAGCAGGTTTAAATCGTATCTTTTAAACTTGATAAATAGCCTTTTTTTTAGCAGTCTTGTAGTATTTTTAAATTAATTTGCTGCAGATTGCACCACTTGCTATAGAATTTTCAGTCACGCATAAGGAGCCTGATTTCTCGCCTTTGTTGGTTAGTTGACCGATACTTTCAGTTATGATTTTTGTAACTTGCTTTTCTATTTTCATCGAGCAAAGAAGAGGAGGTATATAAGATTCAATTTAAGTCTCGAGTGCCACATTATGACCAACCAACTCCCCCAGTACATTCCTTGCATAGCTAGGCGCATCCATGGATTTTTGTCTTTGCTGTCTTTGAAACTTCGTGGCGAGTAGACTATTTCGATCACTAATTGTTCTGAATTTGGACTAGAATGTGTTGTTGTTCTATTGGTCTATGGCTGTTACTGTAGATAATATAATACTTGGTTTTATTTTTGTTTTCTAATTGAAGCTGTAGGCATTAGCTGATAAATGAGATTAGTTTAATTTTTTCTCCTATTTTGCTTGTCTCTCTTCTATTTAATAATAGCATCTTATAGACTTATAGTCTGATTTAATTATTATCCTAATTGATGACTTTTTAAAAAAAATTTAATTACAATTGCATATTATTAGTATACCACAGTAAGTTTGTTATATATGGGGTATAATCCTGTGCAATAATATGTGCTAACCAGTGAAGATACAGAAGTTTGCTTATCTTTTATCACTTGGTTGATTTCATGTTTGCTTACTTGAAGCTTTATAGTGTGTCACTAATGTTTTTACCTTTCTTATCCAGCATAAAGTTCCCTTTTTATCCATTGAAGGGCTTCACCATCTGCATATCTTCATCTTTGTTCTTGCGGTTGTTCATGTCACTTTGTCTGTCTTGACCGTTGTTTTTGGGGGAGCAAGAGTATGTATCTATTGTTATGTTATTGTTGTTCGACCTTTGCTATGTTGTTCAAATTTTAGATGTAGCTAAATCTTTGTTTTGTTAGTTTTGCAGATTTGGTCGACACTCTTGTAGTTATGATGAGAATAAGAAAAAGAAAGAGCAGAGACAGATCTTGGATGATGATTTTTTATTTGTTTAATCTTCCATGGCTTCTTATATTCCTCGGTCTCTCATCCAAGGTCAGGTTTTAACCTACTATTCTTCATTCTCGCTTTTTTTTTTTTTTGGTTTATTTTTTTGCTTTGAATTTGTATATATATCATGGGATTTGGGTTTTGCTGGTGTTAATGGTGAACCTGTCACCCTAACTGAATCAGTTTTAAAGGCCATGGCTGCTGCATTGGCTGCATTTCTTTATGATAAAAAGAAAGGTGATTTCTTTATGTTATTTCTCTTGCTTTCTTTATTTCTTTGTGTTGTGTTACAGTAATAAAATAGGAAAGACTGCAATGTATGATTATTTGAGGGATTGAAAGGTGGCACATAGAAGGATTTCGAGAGTTTTGTCGTTGAGAGAGGAGTGATGATTCCGAGTTGTTGTTGCTTTTGATTGGCGGAAGTAGTAGCCGTTAATTCATGCACCAATTTGAGAGGTATTGAGCACTCATTTTTTTTCTTCTTTGGTGGAGGATTTTAACTCTGATTTGTTTCATATGCGTGAAATAGTGAAATTGAGGAGTGCTCTACTCTCTTTTTCTTCCCTTTCTCAATGCTTCCTCTTCTTCCGGTAATTTCTCTCCTTTTTTTTTTCTTTGAATTTGTTTCCTACTTTTAAATTAATCACCGAATTCCTCTGAAAAATAATTGTGGGGTTTTCAAATTTGTGACAAAATCTGAATTAAAATTGATACTTTATTGGTATAAAAATGTGCCCTTTTTCTTATGATGCCATTTAGTTGAATGATTATTGTCTTGCTTTGTAAATTGTATGCTTCTTGTTTTGTCATCGACTCATCGTAATTGCTGAATGCTGCTGTATTTAATTCGTATGTTATCAATTTCTTATTCTATAATTGTAGTAGAAATGTTGTTGAAAAATAGATTTTGTTATTTGATTTTATCCTAAGTTTACAACCATATTATATTGTTGTTCATGTCAATAATAGAGAGAATATAGAGAATAGAGAGAATAGAGTTGTTAGTTTGTTTTTTGATTCATATGAGCCACTTAGGGCGGGGATGAGAATTGATCCCAGGATCACCTGGAACCGGGAGGAAAGCTCTTACCACCTGAGCTATCCCTCACTCTCAGAGTTGTTAGTTTGTATTAGAGTATGCACAAGTTTATATACAACCTAAAGGATTAGTATTAGGGCTTTACATTGGCCCGTAAACTATACATTACACACGGGCTTAACATCCCCCCCCCCCCCTCAAGTTGGAGCATGCAAATCACAAATGCCCAACTTGCCAAGTAAATACAAGAATTGTTGTTTACTCAAAGCCTTTGTGAAAATATCCGCAAACTGATCCGTTGTCTTTACATATGACGGATTAATAACACCGTCCTAAATTGCATCCCTAACATAATGACAATCAACCTCAATGTGCTTAGTACGTTCATGAAATACCGGATTCTGAATATATATGCTGATTGACTGTCACAAAACAAACTCATTGCACGCGGATGAGAGACACCCAAACTGTGTAGGAGAGCCTTCAACCATTTCAACTCATCAGTTATATTAGACATTGAACGATACTCTGCCTCTGCGGAAGACTTAGAAACCGTATGTTGCTTCTTAGTCTTCCAGGAAATAGGGGAACCACCAAGAAACACCAACCATCCAGAAATGGATCTTCTCATTAAAGGGCAACTAGCCCAATCCGAGTCACACCAACCTGTCAAGTGTAGATCACAAACCGCAGACAATAGGATACCTTGACCCGGACATCCTTTTAAGAAGCGAACCGTACGTAGGGCAGCTTCCCAATGATCTTGATGAGGTTGTTGCATGAATTGAGACAAAATATGAACTGTATATGCCAACTTAGGCCTGGTGAAAGACAAATAGATCAAGCGACCCACAAGACACCGATACATTTCGCAAAGAAGAGGGGTCTCTGATTTTTCCAGAGTATCGTTTTGCTCAATGGGAGTACCTGCCGGGCGTGCCCCTAGTAGACCAGACTCTGCTATGATATCAAGAGTATATTTTCGTTGACATAAGAATATACCCTCCTGACTCCGGGAAACCTCAATATCAAGAAAATACTTCAACACACCCAAATCTTTCATATGAAAGCAGTCACTCAGATATGATTTGAATGTTGAAATTATAGTTGAGTCATTACCCGCAATTATTAATTAAATCATCAACATACACCAAAACACTAAGTTGAATAGTACCATTTTGTAGAGTAAAGAGAGAGTAGTCAGAGTACGACTGTTTGAATCCTTACCTTTTCAGAGAGTTGGCCAATTTTGAAAACCAACATCGAGGTGCCTGTCATAGCCCATATAGAGACTTTCGAAGTCGACACACCAAGCCGGACTGTGAGCCGTGGAAACAGGGGGCTTCATATAAACCTCCTCATCAAGATGGCCGTGCAAGAAAGCATTTTTCACCGGCTCCAATCAGGTTCCCCGAGAGTTGATCCTGTATAGCACACAAAGTGTCAGTGAATTGGACAAAACAACGTGAATCATCAATCATTTTAGACACCGATATTAAATTGCAATTTAATTTGGGGACAAACAAAACATTCTCAAGAATAAGTCCATCTGCCAAATATACTCGCCCCTCCTCCATAGCCAGCATGGGCACCATCCGGGAGTCCCACAGGGCAAGGAGAAATAGAATGTACGTCCATCAAACAAGAGTTGTCACCAGTGACATGATGAGAGGCTGGCTCCAGTATCCACTATCCAAGACAAAGAAAAAGGCTCACCAGTCATCTTATCTTGTTGTTGTTTATTAACCATATTTAACAGCATTCGGACATGTTCAGGTTGAAGCTCGGATAAAACCGCAAGAGTATCATAAGGGGGCATAGGAGAACCACCAGCAGGGCTGCTCACGGCATGAGCCCGTGCCAAGGGTCTGCTGGAATCCGTGGCGGCAGCAGTAGTAGGAGCAGAGGAAGCAGCGGCAGTAGAAGGCCTATTGCTAGAGGGAGAAGCGTGCTGACCCGAGGATGCAGCACCCCCTTTCTTGCCATATTTCTCAAGCCACCACGAAGGGTAGGGTAGCCATAGAGTATAAAACATCCCGTAGTGTCATGCCCCGAGCGTTTACAGTGAGAACAGAACAACTTCGTTTTATTAACCCGAGAAGCTTGAAATTGTCGTTCATTAGAGGAAGGAAGAGCAAAGACATGGGCATCCTCCTTTGCCACAGGAGTCTTGCTTGAGCGATACTCCGCGAGCGCTCCTCTCGAAGGAGAGCCTGATACGCACGGTCTAGGGTCGCCAGAGGTTGCTGAGACAGAAGGTTCGTTCGAACCATGGCATATTTTCCATCATCAATACCAACCAGAAATTGATGCAAGATCTCCTCATCCCTGTCCTTCGCATACTTCGCAGCAATATCACAAGAACACGCACCATACTCACAGCCATGAGGTGGTTTGAGGCGCACAAGATCATCGAAAAAACTCATCAATTGAGTATAATACTCCTCGACAGTCATGGTGGGGAGTTGCTTGCAGTTGATGATGGAAGCCCTCAATTGTTGCAAATCAAAGGCCGCTAGCCTCACAATACCGTTTCTCAAGATACTCCCACAAGCGCTTGGCTTCATCGAAATAGGGAATTGAAGCAGCAATCTTCGGCTCGATCGTCCTCAATATCCAAGAAACCAACATAGAGTAGACGGTATCCCAATCAAGCAGCCGCCGTTGTTCAGTCGGTTTGGAGATGGTACCATCAACAAACCCAAATTTGCGCCTTGATTTCAAATTAAAGACAGAGAAATAGCCCTAGACCAAGATAGATAATTATCACCCTTCAAGATCACATGAGTAATCAAGTTACCGGGTTGATCGCCGGAGCCAAGATAGAAAGGAGAGGAAAGATCAATTTTGCCGTCGTCCACCATTGTTAAGGAAGCAGAGAAGATTAGAGATTAGATAATAGAGAAGAAGAAAAAAAAAAGAGTATTTAGGGTTTAGAATTGTAGTGGCTCCGATACCATGTCAATAATAGAGAGAATATAGAGAATAGAGAGAATAGAGTTGTTAGTTTGTATTAGAGTATGCACAAGTTTATATATACAACCTAAAGGATTAGTATTAGGGCTTTACATATTGGCCCGTAAACTATACATTACATACGGGCTTAACAGTTCAAGAAGCTAGATTAAACTTTTTTCTTCTGTGAATGTTTGGTCCATGTAAATTGACGCCAGTGAGATGGTTCAGAGGTAATCAGTATTGCTCTTTTAGAAGTAATCCAACATTTTATATTGCCATTTTTCAGCATGCTGCAGCTGGTGCTCATGTTTACTTAGCTGGATTGCAGGACCAAAGAAGAAAGAGGGCAAGGCCAAAGAAGAAGCAAACTACCAGGTCAGTGAGAGCTAGATTGCAGTTTCCAGTAGGAATAATTGATAGGTACTTGAATAATTGATGCTCCTGTTTACTTAGATGATGTTCTTGAGTACGCTGCTGCTGAGGTATGAACAGTCATCCCACTTAGAGTATTTAAGTATACCTCTTGTTATTTTTTAAATGAACAGAGAATATTCTGTATGCATTCTGAAGCCACTGTTCTTCAGGGGATTGACGTAAAAGAAATGCTTGCTGGAGCAGCTCTAATAGATGAAGAAATTAGGATTCCTGTGGTAAGTTCCCTTGATTGTCTAGTTTAATATATGAAAGAAAAAGATGCAATAAAATGTAATCTGACTTTAGATATTGTCCTCTTATAATCCAATGGAACTAGAGCTTTGATTCATTTTCATTTGCGACAAATGACTTAGGAAAGGCTTTCATTTGTAACTGAGTTCACATGGTTGAATCAATGAATGCCTTGCTTGATTGAGATGTTGTTCTATTACCATATGGCCATGCACACCTTTTTCTAATTTGATGATCTTTGTTTCAGTTGAGAAACAATCCTGCAGCTCTATTGGCTTATTTGGCTATGCGCTGGTATTGGATCGGGTCGTGTCGGATCGAATACTGCAGTTAGGATTGGAACTTTTGGTTCAGATCGGAGTTGGGTTCGGAACAGATTAGTTTCGGATTGGAGTTGGGTTTGGATCGTAGTTGGGTTCGGGTCGTAGTTGGGTTCAGGTCGGAAGGTTCCTTTGGGCAGCAAGCCAGTATCAAAGTTGCCTAATTTTAGATCTGATTGTCTTGAGTCTGCCCTGTAATTTGTGATATCTCTTGTTACGTTTTGCTAAAAATTATAAAAATTTACAAATGACTATTTTTAACGATTTTTTGATATATCTTTTGTTACGATTCCAAAAAGATCATATATGTCTATTTTTTTTTTATATATGTATAAAGCACAAAATTTAGCTATACAAGTGATTGTGAATAGTGCCAAATTACAAATGTTGCAATTATACAAGTAAAGCTGGGCATGGGCCGGGCTGGCACGCGAGCTACCTCGCACGGCACACCAGATGGCTCGGCACGAGCACGGCAGCGGCACGACACGACACGTGGAACGGCCGATGGGCCGTGGGCCGTGCCGTGAACAAGGAAATTGAAATTTGGCACGAGCACGGCGAGCGGCACGAACACCGGCCCGTCGGCACAGCCCGCCAAGCACGATACTTTTATAATAACATTAATATTTTTTTAACATAATAATAAAGAAAATATTAAAAAAAAAATGGGCGGCACGGGGGTCGGCACGACACGGCACGCTAGGCACGTGGGCCGTGCCGTGCCGTGGGCCGACTTGTGAAAATGACCGGCACGGCACGGCACGACCATGCCAGGGCACGACACGACCTGCTGTGTGGCTAGGCACGGTTCACGGGGGCACGGCACGGCACGGTGCCCAGCTTTATATACAAGAGTAGAGGAAATAATATTTATTTGTTCACTCATATTAAATACAATCGCAAATGTTCTTTAACGTGTACAAACAAATTCCATAAAAGTATAAAACATTACCAATAATGATAATAATACTTTTTCCATTAAAAAAATGTGTAGTAACAATTGGTTATTATTTATGAAATATTTGATTGTTAAAATAATTTTGTATGGTGGAAGTAATTATGACGATAGTAACTTAATAAATAATAATAAGGAAAATAATTAACATAATTCTAAGGGCGAATAATTAACTAAAGGGGTAATATTTAATAAAATGAAGCATTTATTACATTGATTTAATTTACACGTGTTTTTGTCATAAATTCTCAAATTATTTCCATTTAAGGAAGTATAATAATGTGTTATACATAGCCCATAGCCCTAGGGCTATGTATAACATTGTCCTTATAATAATAATACTTAATCATAATAGTTAATTTGTCACAGCAGATGGTCATGGGACATAGTACACTACGAAGTTGGATCCAGCACGTTATCCTGCTCTTCTATAGCGAGGATGGTAGATATAGTACACGTATCACCAAGTTTATTGCAACACTGTGGGGTATGTGGACGACAAGGAATGCAAGAGTTTTGAAGGGAGTTGATGTAACCACGGCAACGACTACTGAACTGATTAACATAGCACTTAAGGAACATGAGGTGTTCACTGAAAGGGTAGGGGGTCTGGGCCCGAGTATGACAGAAGAGAGTACTGAGCCCACCCTGCCGCCTGGCTTCAACCATGTACACTTAGGGGTACAGAAAACCAGCTTTGCTAACTTTATTTTGCAGGTTGATGGCTCTTGGGATAAGACGTCCACGAGGGCGTGTATCGACTGGGCTATCACTGAGCTCGACCAATCTTACACCTTTGATGGTGGAGGCAAATATGGGACGACATCCTCGACTTTATAGTGCGAGGCTTGGGCATGCCTAGAAGCGTTAAAATGGGCTGAAACACAAGGAAAGAAGGAAGTGCTCATTCTTTCCGACTCTGCTCTATTGCTAGAAAATCTAAAAGTGCCCGAGGGAATGAAATTTCGATTGCTTGGATGCTTGAGGAGATTAGGACTGTGGCCATTAGATTTAGGAAATGTTCTATTATTAAGGTCAAGAGGGAACAAGTACAAAGGGCCAATGATATTGCAAAGAAGTGTCGTTGTACTCTCTCTAATTTAGTGCTTTAGTTGTGTTCTTGTTAATTTGCTATTGTCCAAAAAAAAAAAAATAGTTAATTTGTCTTTAACATGGTTTTTTTTTAAAAAAAAATTATTGAACTGCAAAAACCTTTAGTTTGTGTGCTTCTTAGTTCATGTGACTTAGTTGGAGAATTTCCTTGCAACATCAAAATAAAGGGAAGTGCAATTACTCGGTATATTCAATACCATACTAAAGGAATAACTCTCACAAAGTTTTGACTTGTAATATATATTAAAGGAGATATGAAGATTGAAGATAGAAATACATTGACATGGGTATAAAATACATGAGCAATACTCTTAGAATATTAAAGAACTTAAATATTTTTCATAAAGTACATCATATTTCAGAATGTAGGTGGGGGATGCTTGATCCAAGAGTTGCTATATGATATATCAAGTCATTGTTCGTTGCAGTAGCTTCATACATCCTCTACTTCCATCAAGGCCTCATAATTATGAGTATAGGATGAGTCCACTTTATTGTGTGCTTCAAATCAACTTGAAACTGTATGTCAACAATCAACATGTTAAATTATTATATTCTTTCTTTCTTTCGAAATAGCAATGGATTGTCATCTCATTTGAAAGGATTATGCAGCAAAATGCAGTCTTCATAGGTGTAATATGGTACATATGCCTTCTTTACCCGTAGCCTTAGGAAAATGGTTAGCAATCTTGTAGGACACATCAAAATGTTGTGAAACTTGCACATTGCAACCTTGCTTGACCAACACTAAAAAACATATGACGTTAGCATTCGCAGGATGAACATGGGTGGGAATTATCAATATACAATACTTTACATGCCAATGATGCCATTAAACTAACAATGCATGAGTAATAACAAACTTTAAGAGTCTTAATAGCATCCCTGGCCTCAAGAAGAACAAAAGGAGAAGTCTTCAAAATAAAAGTGAACCCTTTTATTTAACTGCAAACCAACATTATTAAAAAACAATTATGTATACAATTTAGATAAAAAAGAATTAAGGACTACCAACATATAAAAAGTGATTTGAACAGTAATAATAACAAATCCAGGTTGATCGACAATATAAAACATTGTCAGCATATAGTTTTAACTATAGAATATAAAATTGAACAATATCACTTCAAAATCATTAGAGTAAATTAATGAAATCAAATCATATTAATAATTATGCTAACTAACAACATGAACTATCAATCTCCCAAGACAACAATGCAATCGGGACCATTTTTAAGATATGAATAATAATGTAGAGATTGTATCACTCAACTTTGTGAGGCATCAACAAAAATATTAGGAATTTAAATGACTGGACATAATTGCAATTGAAGAAAGAAGGTGAAGGGGTGGAAGATGAAGGTGACAGGAGAAGGGAATTAGAGAGATGAATCAAAGAAATGAAGTCACATTGATCTCTATGAAGTGATTAGTAAATATGTGTCAGTTGATTGCAAGGAGAGTAAATTAGAGGGAAGACACTTGTGTATTTTGGGGTGTGAGGGTGAGTGAGGAAGTGCCATGTGGATTTATAGGGGGAGTTTTAATAGTAGATAGTAGAATATTTGTCATAGTTTTGAGAAAATTTTTAAGGAAAAAAGAAAACTCTATAACTTTAAACCGTTCAAACTTCAAAGTGTATAAGTCTGTGATATTAGAATCGTAATAGAATTACCTAAAATTCTAAGACATACGGATTTGCTTGCTTGGAATTAACATTATACAATTTATAAAATGAAATAAACTACGAAATATTTTTTTTCGCTTTTTCCATATTAGTATTTCTACTTACGCACGATAAACATCAAGTTTCTTGCTTAAAATATTAGTCCCATTTAAATCTCTAAACTGAGTCGCTCAGTGACAGTTTATATGAAATTCTTACACTGAGTCATTCATTAATATGCTACTGTAAGCCTCCAAAACATCATATTATTCTTTTTTTTCTTCTTTTTGCCTTTAGTTGATTAAGCAATGTTAGGTGTACAAGTGTGAGTTGTAGACCCACATGAACAGGTGACAACGGACCTTCATTGTTGAGGTATATCCGGCACATCGATTGTTCTGAATTGAAGTCGATGCATATCTATAACAAGTGCAAATTATGCAACATAGTAGTAGAACAGAAATATAGCATAGCAAGCTTTATTAGTGTCACCAAACAAACCTGTAAATTATAAGAAGTTTAACTTATAACTGGACTGATTGCAGTAATATACTACAAATAGAAGAACAAGATATAAGAATCACTCATAAACATCATCTTGAAAAGCTGAAATAGCTATTGTATCTAAAGATGGACTGGGCCGAGTCGACCCAGCCCAACCCTAACCCACTCGGCTTATGGGCCAACCAGGTCCAGCCCAGTCCAACCCGGTTCCAACCCAGCCCAGCCCGGGGATAGGCCAGGTGGGTCGTGGGTCGTATTTTTCAAATCCGGACCCAGACCAACCCAGCCTGGATAGCCCAACCCATTCGGCCCAGCCCACCCAACCCATCTGGCCCAACCCACGAACCCGACCCAACCCGGTCCATGACCCACCTCAACCCGGTTCTTAACCCAGCAAACGAACCCATGAAACCCATCAACCCAACCCGGTCCTTGACCCACCTCAACCTTGACCGGTCCGTGTCTGGGTCAGCCCCCAGCCAATTCAACCCAGCCCAACCCAGCCCAGCCCAACCCGGTTCCTTGGTGGGTCAAACACGGGTTGAATTTCCCCAACCCAGCCCATGGCCATCACTAACTGTATCAGATATTAGCCCAAAATTAATATTAGAGATACTTGTATATATTACAATTCAAACTTCAAAGGCAAAACAAAGTCTGGTACCTAGAGATCATACTACCTACCTGTCTTACCTAGGGCCAAACAAAAAAAATTAAAAGATGTCTATAAAGGAAATGGTATTAAAGATTCTTCACCCTTTTTTTATTATTTCTTTACAAAATTATTATTTATTTTTTATCTCTTTGAAAAAAAAGAAAAAAAAAAGCCACCCACCAAAATATAACCATAATATTCTAAAGTTAAAAAATTAGATCATACCAACAAATACTTTTCCCTTCTAGCATTACAATGTCCACTTACCTTGCAACATTATAGAAGAAGACGAACAAATACTGTATTTTTGCAAGTTCATGTCCTTGAATATGTGTGCTCTTTATAACTCCTATTATTAATTGTGTTTGAGCCAAGTTTTTGTTGCAGAGCTGTTGAACAAACCATATTAAAGAATGTCCTTGAACTAAAGAATTGTGTTGGATTATATTTATGCAATGCACTAATCTATTAATGGCCGAGATTTCCAAAAACATCTTATAATCTCACACCTACTTTCTAATCGGACCTTATCTCAGTTCGGACCGTATTTTTGATCGAACCATATTTCTGATCAGACCGTATTTCGGATCGGACCGTATTTTTGATGGGGCCGTATTTCTGATCGGACCATATTTCAGATCGGGCCGTATATCTGAATTTTCGATTCAAACCGTATTTCTGATTGGCCCGTATTTTAGATCAGACCGTATTTCAAATCGGACCGTATTTCAGATTGGGCCGTATATCTGAATTTTCAGATCGGACCGTATTTCAATTCGGGCCATATTTTGGATACACACAGATTGCATGCAATATAGGCTCTTTCAATCTATCATAAAATCAAGGAGGTATTCATGCCCCCACTGCTATAATCAGTTGACAACAAGAAACTGCAGCCTCTGCTTTCATGTAATTCCGGCTATAAACAAATACCAAGGTACAAGAATGATCTACCCTTAAGCTACTTTTAGGATATCTATGTCTATCCCATTCAGAACAGGTGCAGAACTGTTGTCCTGTTGCCCTGTTAGTGGTGTAATGATCAGCTTATACTGGTTTCCTTCGAGGACACTATTTCATCACTCCTTCAGCACTTCAGAGACTCAATTTTTTCTTGGTCAAGTCCAAATGCATCCCCATGAAACCAATCTGCAGAGGAAAAAAAATCATTTTAACATCAACACACTCCAAAGTTAAACACACAGCCAGGCTATTCAGATAATAACTTTACAAAGATTCAACAAAATATAAGCATTTCACCTCCACAGATTTCACAAGCAATATAAATTAAAGCTGGCGTAGATCCTTGCTGTGAACAGAGAGAACATTTAGGTCGGTCGTCAATCTCAGTGGATAATTCAGATGGAAAAAGGAGTTTTCTTCTTTTAAACTGTACAACTCGCTCATCATTTTCCTTCCTAGACCACATTGGTACCGGAAGCAATCTGGCCATTCCACCAGTGATCTCCAAACCAACCCTCCAAAACACCAGCATGATGAGTGCCACTTGAAGATGTTCTTGAGAGCACATCACCTTCACACAACAAAAAAAACACCATCTTTAGACAACCAAACATCAAAATAAGCCAGGGAACAACAAATGACTCGAAGAAGATACATAAGAAAATACAAGTCACAATTACATTCAAAATCTCATTCACCTTGATATGGAACAATGAAAGACAGTGCAACCACAAAACACCAAAGGCATACCCTCGGAAACTGCGGCAAATACAACTGCCCTTGCTGCCCTAGGACAACAAAACAATACTGCAATCATGGGTTCATATAAGCTAACTTGAAACAACCTCCTCAGACTAGAAGCAAATCATCCGGTGATTCCTCGGCATATCAGCTAACTCGAGCATTTGGGGTCAATAACAGAAGCCAAGCAATACCCCCAATAGAAATGAAATTCGTCCCTCATAACATGCAAATGCCAGGAAGCCCAACATCACTCATGAAGATTCTATTATCATACATGCAAGATGCAATTGCAGTTATGCATCAATGATTTGGAAATATAAGCCATGATCAATACTCCCAACAAAAACGAAATTTATCCCTCAAAACATGCCAAATTTTTGGAAGCTCAACAACATTACATCACTTTTGAAACTTCAATCATCATACAGGAAAGAATGACAGATAATCAAAATCAAATCTTTTCTTATAATCGTGAAAATCAAAATCCAAAAGATTAACGAATATATCTTACTTTCGTAATCAAGTAAAGTTGGAATTCACAATACCTAAAAAAAAGGCAAAGAATTTGAGAGCTGAGACGTATACTTGTACTACTTTATTACCTCTTATCTACTATTTCCCACATTGAGACTATCATAATCATGTAAAGTTAGAATTCACAATGCCTTGCGTGTGATTACCTCTGACATAGAACACAAACCCGCACAGCCGAACACCAGCGAGATAAACCCGATCTTCACCCAGCAGTCCTGTATAATACCAGCAAAACCATGCCATTCATACACCGAACATCCCGCTAACCATAAGCCTAAAGACCATAAACAAACAAAATCAAAACCCAGTAATCACACAAATTCAGCTAAATCAATAGCATGAAAGCCCTGCAATTAGAACCAAAATTCTGAAAGACCCAAGCAGCACACGATCGACCGCTCGTACCAGGATCAACCACAGTTCAGCCGATCAATCAACCGATCAACAAAAGCCCTGAAATTAGAACCAAAATTCCGAAAGACTCAATCAGCACACAATTGCCCAAACACCATAGCCCAAACTAAAACCAACCCAAAACTTACCAAACTTCAACAAAAACCCACACCAATCTGAGATGGAGTAAGACTATTCTTTGCAAACTTGCAAATATTCTCATCCACCTTACAAAAAACACCCACAATCAAAAATCACATCAATAAAACAAACGTCAATCAAAACACTGAATATAATCTCATATATGCATATATACGTGTCACTAAAAAAACAACTGCTGAAACAGAAAATATGCGGTAATTGCCTTGCTTTATGAACTAACCCAATAAACTCTCATCTGCTGATTTATTTTTCTCCCAAGAAATCAGAATCAGAATTACAAGGATTTAAGCAACAATCACAACTATAATCATAACAATTACTGTACGATCTAATTAGGTATAAAAAAAAAACCATAATTTTTATGTTTCTCACTTGTATTCATGTGAAAATTTAACGATCGCTCATATCATAATTCTTTATTAGAGACAAGAAAGATCGCTTATATCATAATTCTTTATTAGAGACAAGAAAAGCCCAAACTTTATGCAACCATTAAAATATAATTTGTACTCAAAATTTCCACCAATATGTCATAGATCTTCAAGCAACATCAAGAACCCTACAATTTTAACCAATTTCAACAAACAAATAAGCGACCAAAACCATAAAAAGTAAATATCAAGTGACAACAGGATACATGACAAACAATGGACCTTCATCTCAAGAATCAAAGCTTTAAACATGGCATCCTTTGAGACAAACTCATCATGCTGCAGGGTTTTCAGCTGAAAACCCAACAAAACAATTCAGTCATTCAAAATCATTATCCAATACAAAAAATAACATGGGATTTCGTTCATGAAGTCATATTGGCAGTTATTCTTACCCTATCCTTAGCCATGTTAAGCTCCTGCATTCATTTCAAACAGAACAATACTTAACTAATTATAAGAAACCGATTTTTAACAATCAAATTCAGCAAGGTAAATGAAGCACCGACCGCAATCATCTGGGAGTTCCTTGGGGTCATAAGGGGCAGGTTCCTTGAGCACGTCAGTCTTAACAATGTCAGACCAGGGGGGTAGTTCAATCTATCACAAACACAACCTTTGTTTGTAATACAATCTAATCAACTTGTTAGCATTATTAATTAATTATACGACAACTGTGACAATAAATAAAGAAATAAATAAATAGAAACTGACCAGCATTCCTCAACAAGGGCTGCACAATCTGCTAGCCTTCTCCTGGTGCGAAAGCTACCGTCAGGCTGCGAAATGTCTACAGTAGCAAATAAGAGATGATGGAGAAGAAAATAAGAGAAGCAGCAAACCAGAACAAACCACCCACAAAAAACAAAGGAAATACACCCAGAAAACAGCATTTTAAAGTCACCCCCCTTCGAAATAATCTCGTCTAGTCCTCCCAATTCGCTCCCCGGCCCCTACATCGCTTATTTTACACTCAAACACAACGAACTAAATTTCAGCCAGATGCAAATGTATCCTATAAGAATTGATCAGCCAGATGCAAATGTATCCTATATAAATGGAATGTATCCTAAATATGTATCCTATATAAATGGAATAATTTGCAAACATAGTATCAACATGCAGTAGAATTAACATACTAATCCTGAATGAGTAGGATCTAATCATACGTCAAATTATATGATCACTCTCCAGTCTTCAATGATCCAACAATCTTACATTTCTAGCAATAATAATTTGAGAAGATACTTATTAAATCCTTGACTAATTCTTACCAAAAAATTCGTAAGCATTAAATTCATTCTCTAGTCTTCGCGTATCTTGTATTTTTGCTAGATTTTATCATCGCTACTTTTCTGCAACTCATCAATCAAAAACCACAAAATTAGCCAAATAAAGACCAAATATAAAATAGCCCAAATTGCTCATTAAGCTCAAGAGACTATCAAAAGTGATAAATCATCTTGAGCTCATCACCAATACGCCAATCAGTATCACAAAATCCCAGAAAAAATCCCAAAAAACGAACACAGATCAAGCAAAATCGAACCCAAATCAAGCAAACCCATACAAACTCAAACGAAAATCAAACACCAAATTCCAGAAAAAACAAAAAACCCTAAAAAACAAACTCACATAGAAAACGCGATGACCACCGTAAATTTTCGAACAAAGAAATGCGTTTTTAAAGGGCTCACGGTGACCCCAAAAAACGAACAGAAATTAAGCAAAATCGAACACAAATCAAACAAACCCATACAAACGAAAACCAAATTCCAGAAAACCCAAAAAACCCTAAAATAAACTCACCTAGAAAACGCGATGACCACTGTAAATATTCGAAAAAAGAAATGCGTTTTTCTCATTTAAATAATCCTCGCATTTTCCTGGATCAAGTTCTCAAAGACTGACTAGAAATACAGTTCTAGGACAAAACATCCCCATGAATTATCACTATATCGAGAGCATTCCTTTACCATACATTAACAATTCTCCTCCCAGATCGATACACACTCCCAAGTCCATTACCTTTATAAGAAGCACTCTATCAAACTGCAATAATCTCCCCCTTCGAAATAATCTCGTCTAGTCCTCCCAATTCGCTCCCCGGCCCCTACATCGCTTACTTGACGCTCAAATACCCGGCTAATTCTCCTCAACCCACTTGCATTCTCATCTTGTGTCTCAAATCTATCTACTTTAGGTTCCAAATTGCTATTACCCATTTCATCTTAAGTTCCATTATCAGCTTCCCTCAAACTAATTTCTCTCTTAGAAACACTCCCAATATTTTCACCAACTTCAATACACCACTCATTATTATTACTGACTCTATTCTCCTCATTCTCAACACCAGAAACTACCCCCTTATCCCAAAATATTCTCTGGTTTACCAGAAAACTTCTCAGATTCATCAGAAACTATCCCAACTCAGCTCTTTCCTCAGAAGACCTCAGGGAATCATTAACAACCTCTGAATTACCCTTTTTAGCTGCAAATTAACAACCAACAAAATACAAAGAACCTCAAAATCACACCACAAATCATGCACAAAACACACTCTAGAGTAATGTACATTCTAGCAATTTCAGTTCTGCAATCTGAATGAATTTTAACCAAAGGAAACAGACTGAAACAAACTGGACTGTAGCACTAAGCCGCTAACTACTCTTCAGAAAATCACAACCATGCATATATTGTTTATTACAATTTCACCCAATACAGTGAAAAAGCTCCAATTAAGATCAACTAATCTTAGCAATGACTCATATAAGAATGACCTCCATCTGTATTTCTTACTGATATGCAGAATTCTATGATACTCAGTTTAATGTAACAATACCTTATTGCTAGGAGCCACCTTCTTACTGATATGCAAGCAAAAATTGTGATCAACTAAGCAACCCAGTAGCAAGTAGAGTTCCCCATGCCAACAACCTAGCTTTAAAGCATCTATATACCTATTTCTTTAATCCATAACATATTATGCAGAATACACAGTTGCATAATGCATACTCCCAGAATCACATATGTACTCATGCTATTTAATTAGACCATTTCTAACTCCTATCTAGTGTCCACAATATCAGCAGCCTCAATGCTATTTAATTGAAATGGAAAGAAAAGAAAAGGAAAACAAAGCAAATGGAGGAATATTGGAAAGAACAAGTGAAAAGGGCAGGATGTGAGACTCCAAAAAAAAAAAAAAAAAAAAAAAAAAAAAAAAAAAAAAAAAAAAAAAAAAAAAAAACTTAGATAACTTCTCCATCAAAGCATGAACCTCTTTAGCGCCTAACATTGGATTCAAAAACTGATATTATTAGCTTTCAAACTTCTAACAATCATCACAAAAAACAAACAATCAAATGTAGCTAAAGAAAGAAGGAGAAGAAAAAAAGTACCTTATCAAGAACTTTACTTTGGGGCATAGTAGACACATCCCACAAACATATCTTACGATCATAAGACCCACTCAACAAATAACCCTCTTTTAATGGATTCCATGGCAACCCATAACCTTCCTTCTCATGACCTCTCAACCTCAAATCATGGTCACACAAATTCACCCACTCTGTTTCGCAACATCAAACACATAAACCTCTAAACCACTCGTCTTCGCCGCAACAAGGGTTGGCTTCTGCGGCATAAACCTAGCCCGGTTCACCTCCCTATCAACCCAAAAATTCTTCACAATCTCCACCTACAAACCAAGCAAGCAAAACCCAACAAAATTAAACCCAAAAAAATAGAAAGAGATATATTAATTCCATAAAATCATGGACTTATTAAACTATACAGATCAAATAGAAGAATAGAGTTTATGAATGAATTTGAAAGTAAAACATTTATAGATGGAGTTAACCAGTTCATTAATAACCATGTATTTTCAAATTAAAAGAAAATGATAGAAGTGAAGAATCAATACCCTGTCCCTTCTCCTTCAACAGGTTCATTAATCAGGTGAAGAAAGCCAGCCTGGTGCGCCTGAATGAGCTGCATCAGTTGCGGATTCTGCTTCCCCAATCCTTGGAGCATAGGCTGAACAAGGTCAAAAGAATGTATCAGACCTTATCACAGGGGAAAAAAACATAACACATGTAATCACATAAAATCTAACAAATTTGAACAAATTAAACAAAAACAAAAACCCCAATTAAACAACAAAATCGAACAAATTTGAACAAATTTGTAATTAAAACCCTAAAATTAAGGAGGAGAAAGTCATCGAGAACTACAGACAGTATCAAGTCATTCAGAAGAATACCTGCAAAGATGGGGGGCTTTAGTTGTGCTCTCAGTAGACTCAGTTCTCGATTTGCAACCTGAAATATAGACAATGAATGAGGTTGGAATTAAGAGCTGATCAAGCACGTAAGGATAAATACTCCCAGGCCAACTCTAAGATAGTAATAGATAAAGAAAAATACTTGAACATTCAATTCTCAAAATTGATGTCAAAAAACAGAAATAACACCATTATCTATCACACATTGATTACAGTGATAATTCATATACCCTTGTAAACCCTCAGCAAACGAATGAATTCATCAGCTACACTTGCTCGGTTCTAATTCTAGCGATTCCCGTCAGCAATGTCGGAAGTGATTATTGTTTGATGCTAGGGTTTTGATCATTCCCCATTGTTTAGCTTCATTGAGGTTATTCTTTGCTGTAAGTCTGTAACTACACTTTTGTTCTTTCTTAAATTATTTATCATCATTCTTTGATTTTTGTCATGCTCAAGTTATATCTGTATTTCCAAATTGCATTTTCAAGTTAGCAATTAGGTTTATGATAATACGAATTGCATTAATAGTGATTGTACTGAGTTAGTCACTTCAACTGCTGTTTAATTTAATTGCTTAGTTGTGTCCTGTGTGCTTTCATTCATGTAGTAAATTAGGGTTTGTGTTGTTTTTCAGTATTTTACGCTGTCTATTTTGGTAGTGTAGTTAAGATGATTGGTTGCTTGATTGCTTTCATTATGTATGTATTGTGAATTGCAGCTCTTTCTTTGAACAATTATACCAAAAGTCGGGTTTTGGGTGTTGTATTTGTCTTGTGTTGGGTTACCTTATCTAATATATCCTCTAAATATTCAGATGGCTTGCCGTCAGATGTTAACTAAACAAGACACTCTCTTGCGGAGATGGTACCACCCTTTGTTGAGCCACATTGTTCATCATGGTCATGAAGCGATGAGAAATTTCCAATCGCCGTGTCTAAGTCAACCTGGATATGGAATTAGCGATATTGTTATGTCACAGATTCATACTAGAAACAGCATTGGTGGTAATGGGGGTTTCGGATCACTTTGTGGGCAGAATAAAAGTTTGCCTGCCTTCCTTTTCCCAGCAGCAGCAGCAGGGGTTGGACCGTCATTGTCTAGATATATGTCAAGTGCAACTGGAGAAGGCTCTGACAAAGTTGACAATCTTGGTGACATTGCCCACATTTTTACCGATAAAACTGTGGAAGCAGTTTCTTCAGCAACTCCTGCCGTTAATGAGGTGGCTGTTGCAGCTGCTGATTCTGCCTTCCCAGTTGCTGCACTTCAACACTTGATTGATGCTGTTCATTCATTTACTGGATTAAATTGGTATACCCTCCTTTTGTTTTATTATTTTAGTTTCTGTTAAATCGGTTCCTTGACTTTTATCTGTGGTGAGATTGGAGTAAAGAGGGAAAGGTGGTGAGATGGAAAGTTCCATTTTTTACGGTGGAGAGCTAGCATGGAAAGAGAGATCCTTTTGAATAATGTCAATATATGCTCATGCATATCTAAAAGTGGGCAAGGAATTGAGATAGGAACTTGCCTTTTTTTTTGGCAGAGGGCTGGAGTGGAAGGAGGATATCTTTGGCAATTGTATTGAGATAGAATCTTCTATTCTTATTGCTGGACAATAATCTGAATAGAGGATATCTCTTGACTTTTTTTTATTAGGTTATGCTAGTGTTTTTCTTTCTTTTATGATTAGAACTCAAAAGGTGTTTTGTTGAGGGGTTGGGGTTATGAAGTCTGAACCTTTGGTTTGGAAGCAATAGAAAATATATGAAAGGCGGAAGCATAAAAAATATCTGACAAAGAAGGATTGGATGAGAAATCCTTAAAGGCTTAAATTCTAGTAAGTAATATGTGATCTAGATTGGTCGTTGTGAGGCCTTACCATATTATCAAATTCGTTGTATTTTAGTCCAATTTTGTCATGGATTTCATATTTTGACTCTCTTTATATTCCAGGTGGGCAGCTATTGCTGTAACTACTATTTTAATTCGAGGAGCAACATTGCCTTTACTCATCAGTCAACTCAAAGCTACTTATAAACTCAATGTGAGTCTTTGTGCTTGAATTATGACATTCATTAAGCTGTCCAGAATTTATGTTATTTAATCGTTGATAATACAGCACAAGCTTCTGTAGGAAGATTTTAAATTTTTTGGATATCATTGTTATTTGTTACCGCTGACCCGCTGTTGATTTTTCATTTTTTTTTTAAAAAACAAAAAAAATTCTGTTTTGTACAACTGTATTTCTTATCTTAGTGTGATCTGTTTGATTGTAATGTCTAATAATAAAAAAATAAAAAAAAGTGAAGTTATGTAATTGACATTGTTTGCAAGTCGCCATTTCACAATTATTTTTTATACTTCTACTGCTGTTTGTTTCCCTTTTATTTTTTTAGTTGTATGTGTGTGTGCGTGGTGGTGATGGTGATGGGGGGGGGGGGGGGTTTAGTTGTTGGCTTGTTGCAGCTGCTAAATGTACTAAAAAAGAGGTAATGTTGTTGGTCTGATGCATGCAATCCTTACTGTTTTCATGTCAACTTGCTCTGTGTTTGATTTGTAGTTTATATATTCTAACCTTGTTACTAGTATGCCATTTTGATGCAATTCAATCCTGTGTAGTTGATAAGATCACGGTTGGAGGAGATAAAACAGACGGTGCAAGCTTCGGTATGAACTTCCCACCTGTTGTTCACGTATTAGGTTAGGTTTATTTAATCTTAGATAAAATTTTTGAGGCTTACCAATATTCATGTTTATGCCTTTTTTCATTTCATATTAGTTGTTTGATGGGTGTTAACTATTTATCCTGATTTATATTTTTCAGGGTATGGATCCTGTTGCTGTTGCTGAAGGCCAAAAGGAAATGAATGCTTTGCTAAAACAGTAAGTAATTTCTTGTAGACCACTATCCTGGACATCTCACTATCCGAGAGATCCACTAATTTGCATAAGTTAGTCTTTTGCGTTGGCTGAAAATGCTGGACACATGTTAGTGTCTAATTTTCTTCGTTGCGGAATGCCGACAGATATGGAGTTAGCCCTCTCACTCCGTCGAAAGGACTTCTAATTCAAGGCCCAATCTTCGTCAGCTTTTTCTTAGCTGTAAGATTTTATTCCTGTTAGCATCTCTAATCTTTTGATTTTAATAGTATTACTCTAATTATCGTCTCAAAACTCTGTATTTATGTATCAGATCTCAAACATGGTTGAGAAGGTTCCATCAATGAAATCTGGTGGAGCGCTCTGGTTCACAGATCTCACTACTCCAGATAGTTTGTTTATTTTTCCAGTTCTAGCATCACTATCATTCTTGGTCCTTGTAGAGGTGAGGAGTTTCGATGTGCTTCTGAGCACCTCTTGCCGTTGCATTCCTTATCTTCTTCTGTTTCTAATTCTCTGTCAAAGTTGTTGTCTCTTTTTATTGTCCTTTCTGAGGGAGAAGAGGAGGGTGCTGTTACTAACATTTTATTGCTGTTTCACTAACCTTAGTACAACATGCAAGAAGGCTTTGAAGGTAATCCTAACTCTGATAAAATGAAGAAGGTCTCAAGGATCTTTGCTATTCTTGCAGTGCCATTTACAATGGGTTTTCCTAAGGTATGCCAACATTTCCAGGTTCACAAAAGTTGCAGAAAAAACGGGTTTATCCTATTAGTTTCTTGTCAGTTCTAATAAATGGATTTCTGTGATATCAGTGCTATGTTTGAACCCCATTCCCCCCCCCCCCCCTTTCTCTCCCTCTCTCTCTCCCTCCCTCTCTCGCTCTCCCCCTCTCTCTCTCTCTCTCTCTCTCTCTCTCTCTCTCTCTCTCTCTCTCAAAGCGGATAAAATGAAACGAAGAAATAAACGGTAAAAAATAAAAGCCAGACTTGTTGAAAGGCTTGAACAGATTACAACCTCACAAGCACATAAATAAGAGTGGAGGAGTAATTATTCTACTGTGCCCCTTTAACTTTCTAGTTTCTCCAATGAGGCTAGCATTATTCTCACGTAATGATTCCGTGTTGTACGCATTCATTTAGCTTATTGATGTCTACCAATTCATAAATGTGCAGCTTTTTGGATGTATGCCTGGTTTGATTTCTAATGCTGAGAAAGCCAATTTTATTTATTTCTTTATTTATTTTTATTGCAGGCACTCTTTTGTTATTGGATAACCTCCAACCTGTTTTCAATGTCATATGGATTAGGTGAATATTTGACCGTTTAATTTGTTGGTTTTCTGGGCTATTATGTAGAATTAGTATCTACAGTGGTGAACAAAATATGATTTTTCTCAGTTTCTTTCAACTTTGCGTGTTCAGTAGTATGGCAGTCCTTTTACCATGAGTCTCAGTCATCCATATCCCGTAATGCATATCGAGGTGCTTTTCTGACAAATAACAAAATTAAGCGCTTGTATGTTCATTGACAAGAGATAGCCTTTGGTTTATCATTACCAACTAGAAGTTCATTGCAGTGTTTGTATCCACTATAGCCTTAAAGCTCTATAGAGAATTCTGGAAAATTGTTTGCTTTGGTAGGAATTCTTGAAGTAATTTTATCTTCGAAAACTTTTTTATAATCCCTTTTCTAGAAACAGCATCTGGCAAGCTAGCTGTGGACTGTTCTGCAAGATTTCACTTTTCTCATTAAGAGTTGCAAATGTTTCACATTGTGAATTTTATCATAATTTCCCTGCAACATCTGCCACAATACTACTCTTCAAATCCTGCATTCTTTCAAAGACTGTCAACCAAATGCAGAGCCATAATAACAGAACTGTCACCCTGCGCGGATTTCATAAGGGATGAATCGTCCATTCCCGAAGAGGCTTGCTGCAATGGGGTGCACAACGTGGCCGGGTTAGCCAAGGGCCGATCAGCTGTGGCGGAGATTTGTGAGTACCTTAAGCAAGGATTAGATGATACCACTTATGATCCTACTAAAGTTCATCAGTTGCCTACTGAGTGTGGAGCTAATATTGATTCCCCTCCTGTTAATTTTAATATTGACTGCACTCAATAACTTTACGCTCCAATATCTAAGATTGTTTTTCTTCAAATGATATATCTCGTGCCAATGTACGGATTAATTCGTGTTACATGTATCAGTATCATGATAATTGTATGAAGTTACCGTGCATACTATGCATATAAGAAGATTAGACTTATAGATGATCATCATGTTTAGTTGGAAACTGAATTTGATTTGCTAGTTCAATTTGGAACTGTTTTGTTTATATACACTTTTCTTTTAGTATGCTAATGCACGAGTTAATTCTTTGCGACAAAAAACAATTGTTGATATTGGGGCTTCCAAAAAAGATATTGGAAATGTTCATGGAATAGGTAAATTTTTTTTTCACCACAATATAGAATACTAGAATAGGTAGTTATAGGTCATTTTATGAAAAATAAAAATAAAACATATGTTAAGATTTTGGAAAATTGACTGAAATTATTATATATATATATATACTCGTATATTGGTTTCATGTAAAACGAGTGAGTTATTTTGTTGCCTATCATCTTATTAGATTAAAGTGAACAAGTTGAGGTTTTCCCTATGTAGCCATGAAAGATTGTCCAAAAATAAAATAAAATATTACAGTATTAAAAACTAACCCAATCCAAGTAGACCTACCATAAATCGAATCCTAACTAGAGTCAAGCCAATAACCCACATTGACACCTCGTCTTATTCTTAGTCATTTTCTACACCACTCGAGGACTAAAAGAATAACAGAATACTTTGGATCATTTTCCAAAGTAAGTTTTATTAGAAAATAATTTTGTAAAGTAGACTCGTGGTCAAATTATTTACCAAACTCAAGGCTCGAACAACGTTTTATACCCTTGGTTTAAAAAACAAAATCAATATGTAAAACGCTATCTAACTTTTTTTTTAAATTTTGTAATTTTTTATTTTAAAATATGAAAAAAAAATTACACAAAAAACGCTGACTTAGTGTAAATATTTTTTTTTTTTTTTTTTTAAATTCTTAATTTTTTAATTGCTAAGTACCCTCATCTTCCTTATTTTTCTTTTCTCGGTTCCGCAACAATGGCAGTAGAAGCCATGATTCCCAACCTTGATGAACCAAGCAAGCCCATGACCCTAATCCACGTCCAAAACTGCATTAAGCTTACCCCAACAAATTATGTTGCCTGGAAAACACAACTCCTTCCGCCTCAATCACCATTGACGGGGAATCCGTATCCAACCCTGCTGCCCTCACGTGGTTCCGTTTGGTGAATTGAAATCTTCAAAAATTAGCACCAAGTGTATAAGAGAGATAAAGGCTTTATTATTGTTGTTATTCACTGACTAATGTACGCAAGTAAGTATAAATAGGAGTACAATGGTAGAAGATAAGAACAACAGAAGCTATTCTATAGGAGAAAAGGATAGCTACAAATCCTATAAAAGTGGAGCCTTGAGCGTTGCATCCGTTGGGCAGTAGCATTTCCTATAATCAAGGATTTTAGTTGAGCAATCTCTGTACGTTTTACACATTTGTTTTTTTTTTTTTTTTTTTATATAAAAAACAGGATATAAAACATTGTCCAACTCTACTTTACAAAATAGTAATCTAATATAACTTACTACACTTTTTTGGTTAAAAATCCAAAAAGAATAACAGAAACAGAATACTTTCTGTACACTTTTTCAAATGTTGTTTTTAACATTTCTGCATTTGGTTACTTCACGTACACCTCCCATGTTATCGACCTTTAAATCAGCCAATGAAGATTGAAAGAGTGCAAAAAATTAACCAAATTCTGCTTCTATCTTTTGAGCTCATCAAATTCTGCTTCCACTTTTTTTGCTGTAAGTAATCTGTACTCACTATGATTGATTTTGTGTTCCAGTTTCCAAGTATATGGGAATTTAGGGTTTATGTTTTTGTACGGACAAAAAAATTGTATGTTATATTAGGAGTTTTGGTGTATAAAAATTCAGTTATATTTTTATCTTTTGCTATATGTATGTACTACGTATTAAATATGTTTCTGAAATTATTTGTATTACAATATGAAAAAGTTGATATTTTAGTACTAATTTGGTAGTTCAGCCGTTTTTTAACTGTAATTTTGCCTATTTTTGTGGTGGAATGGCTGGAATTTCTTGTGGGAAGTGATTGATTTTTGTTTTTTGAGAAGACGATTTAGTGCTTAATTGTATTTTTTTTTTTTTTTTTGAAGCTGTGCTTAATTGTAATTTAGTAGTGAATCTATCAAACTTGTTTGATTGTATGTTAGAATTGTAAAACGTAATTTTTTTTCGCGAATAAGCTTTAAAAGGGTGTTGTTGGAAGTGCAATCTTAGACTCCAGAGATTGGTTTGCTGCAAGTTTTCTTATGGAATGTATTGCGTCTGTTACATTATCTAATCACTCCTTGCTACATTTTCAGATGGCTTGTCGACGAATGTTAACTAAACAAGGCAACCTTTTCCAAAGATGTTATCACCCGTCATTGAGCCACATTGTTCCTCGCGGTAATAAAAGTGATGAGAACTCCCGATCACCATATCCAAGCGCACTCAGTCAACTTGGATGTGGAATTAGTAATAATGTTTTGTCACACATTCATAATGGAGGCAACATTGGTGGTAATGGGGGTTTTAGAGCGCATTTTGGATGGAATAAATGGTTCCCTGCTGTCATATTACCTGATAGTGTTGTACCGTTGTTATCTAGAAAGATTTCAAGCGTAGCTGGTGAAGGATTTGATAATGCTCAACATCCTCAACATCATGGTGACAACAATATTAGCATTTTAACTAGTGAAAATGTTGAAGTAGTGTCCTCACAAGTTCCTGCCATTAATGAGGTAGCTATCGCAGCTGCTGATTCTGCCTTCCCAGTTGCTGCACTGCAGTACTTGATTGATGCTGTGCAGACATTGACTGGATTGAATTGGTATATCTTCTTGTTTTATACTTTTATTAATATATATTTTTGTAAGGCCGGCTATTTTATTTTCATCTCTAATATTTTTCTTATTTTGTTGACCTTAACAGCTCTTTGTGTTTGAAGTCTATTATAAGATTAAACATTTAAACCACCCTAAAAGATCAGTCTTTCGGTTTATTATATTAACAATTTGTTTATTGACGGGGATGACAGGGGCAGTCTGTCTGTTTACTTTGATTTAGTGATATAATTTCCATTTCAAGCGCTTAGTGCTTTTGAAATACTAGTAACAAAACTACGAAGTATGTGATAATATAGCTTAAGGTCACGAAGTATTTGCATTCTAGTGCAATATAACAAGGTGTTGAGATTGGAACTTCCGTGTTTTCGGGTGGGCTAGAGAGAAGATATCTTTGACTAGTGAATCAGGCTATGTAATCATGTCCAGAATATCAAGGGGGTCAAGAACCTGAAATGGGCACATTCTTTTCTTTTGGGTGGAGAATAGTTTTAATTGAGGATTTCTTTGATATTTTAATAAGAGGTTATCCTACTGATTTCATTTCCGTTTGTGTGCAACTATAAAGGATATTTTTGCTGCATTTTTCCTCTCTCTGTGGGTGTGCGTTGGGGGGGGGGAGGATGAAGTTTGAGCCTTTGATCCGGAAGCAATACAAAATTAATACTCACTCCGTTTTCTTTTGATGTACCCATTTGCTATGGACTCATGTTTCAAGGAGAGTTGAGTGGGTGTAAGAAAAGTGAATATACTAAGAAAGATAAAGGCAGGTAGGTGTAAGAAAAATGTGGATCAAGTAAGAGAGAGTGAGTGGAAAGGTATAACTAATATGGAGTATGGGATTAAGATGTAAAAAAAAAAAAAAAAAAAAACAGAGGGAGTATAAGATGGCCAATTAATTATGATCTGAAAACTTAGGTAATAGACTGTTAAAGCCTGTAATTTGGTTTGCATGTTTTGAGGCCTCACCGTATTATGAGTTTTGTTTTTTTTTTTAGATATTTTCCTTGATAGGGAGTATCAAACATTATCTTTCTTTACCTCTCAGGTGGGCAGCTATTGCTATAACAACTTTAATGATTGAGGGAGCAGTCCTGCCTTTTGCAATAAATCAGTTAAGAGCTGCTTATAAACGTAAGGTGAGTCTATGTGCTTGTAATTTCGAGTGATTGTCCCTTTTTATCCCCCCGTTTCTTATCAGTATAATAGCTACTTCTTTTGGATTATCATTGCCATTATACAATTTCAAAAGCTGTCAAGAGTTTATGCTATGCGATTATGGAGACTGTACAAACTTTATGAAATGGAAGAGCATCTCAGCCTTTTCACATCAAGCAACTGAAAGCTGCTTATATAAACTTAATGTGAATCTCTGTGCGTGGATATTTGAATAATTTTCATATCACCCCCCCCCCCCCACCCCGTAATAGACTAATGTTAGCAGGGGTAATTTGGGAAGTTCAGTATTATTAGGTTTATAGTACTTAGCTTTATTATAAATAGATAGAGGGGGGAAAGGTAAAGGCAGGCATGGATTGGGTTATTGGAAATAGAGAGTGGCAACCTCAAGTTGCTAATAGGAGAGTTGTAGGCTAAACCTACTACCTTTGTAAGCTTTCAGCCATTATCATTCAAATTTATCAAGCTTTCATCTTTATTAATTAACCTTATTAAATCAGAAATACAAGTCAGATTTTCAGTCCATTACAACCCCCCCCCCCCCCCCTGTTTTCTTCTGTTATTAGTAAAATAGCTAACTGCTTTAGATTTACATTGCCACCATAACTTTCACCATCTGTCTAAAGGTTATGCTTTGTTAATGTGTTATTAACAAAGAGTACTGTATGGCGGTGCAAACTTTTCTGGGAAAATATTATATTCCTCTGTTTAGCACTTTTTATCAATTTGTATTCCAATGAATTTGATCCTTTTTTCTTAATGTTTTTAGCTTGATGCAAGGACAGTCGGACAGACATAACCTACCTTGTTGAATCTCATCATTTACAGTTTTACGCTGTTTATTTTATGATGTTAAATAAAATGGGTTGAAAGTAAGTCACCCATTCTTAGTTATCATTGTACTTCCTCTGCTACCCTTTTTTGGTTTCTGGATTATAAGGAAATGTAGGGAGTAAGATGTCGTGTTCTTAGGCCACTTTGTGATCCATCTCTTACTTTTGCATGATGGTCTGATGCCGTCATGTGTGCTATCATTATCGTGATCATGTCAACACATTAAGCTTCTCTTACTTAGTTACTTGTGTTATTGTGATTGGCTTAAACCAAAGTGATGAATTATATTCTAGTCGTGATGCTAGTATGCCAATTCAATGTATATTCATTCCTGCGCAGTTGCTACGTTGGGAGGAGCTGAAACAGAAGTGGCATTTGGTATGAACATCCCTTATATTGTACCACTAACTAATTGTCTATTAGATTAGATATATCATCTGAAATGAGATATTGGAAGGCAGGTTACCAAAAGATTCATGCTTGTGTCTTTATATGATGCATGCAATGGAAACTCATATTGCTATCCTGATTTATGTATAGGGTAAGGATTCCAAATCCGAAATTCTAAAGGAAATAAATGTTTTCCGTAATGAGTAAGTAATTTTTTTAGAGTTGCTATCCATGAGATTTAAAAGATTCCCTAATTTGCACAAGCAAATCTTATTGTGTTGGCTGGGTTAGCATCTGATCTACATGTTTTTGGAATGATGACAGAATTGAAGTTTTCCCGAAATTAATTCTGATTCGGGGTTCTATTTCCATAAGCTTTTTCTTTGCTGTAAGATTTCATAATTTTAACTTGTATGCATCTTGCTCTTTTGATTCAAATAGCATTTATTCTAATTTTTATCTCAAACTTCTTTGATGACGTATCAGATCTCAAACATGGTTGACAAGGTTCCATCATTTAAAAATGGTGGAGCTTTCTGGTTCACTGATCTTACTACTACAGATAGTTTGTATATTTGTCCAGTTCTGACAGCACTATTATCCTTTGCCCACTTGGAGGTGAGGTATTGCTATGCACTGCTGAGCATCTCTTGCTGTTGCTCCTCTTATCTTCTACTACCTCTTGTTTTCTTAGTTGATGCGTATTCTTTTTTGGAATATTTTTTAGTTAACCCCACTACAAACTTGATTAAAAATCAGTTAAACACATGGTCTACCCACTTGCTTATACATTCTCTCTCCTCTCCTTAAAGTGTGTGCCTAGATTAAATGTGTCATCTAAAAAGAAACGAGGAAGTACTTGTTATTTTGGTTTTTGAGAGGGGGGAATACTAATATTTCATTGTTATTTTAACTCACTTAATCATTGCTTACTACAATTTCATTAGTGCAACACGCTGAGAAGCTTGAAAGGACATCCGTCAGCAGGTGACTTTAAGAGATACTCAAGGGACTTTGTTATTCTTGTAGTGCCCCTTACAATGGATTTTTCTAAGGTATTTCACTATTTTCGATGGCCTTCATTAAATGTTAATAAGACTTGTACAAAGTTTTGTAGAGAAATAAGTAAAAATAGTTAATCATAGTTGTTTCATCTCATTTCATATGACTGAGATCAGTGTTTGACATGCTCCTCCACGCCACCAGGTTACCCCACTTATTGTTGGCTCATTGGCTGTACTTTGTATATGCTTTTTCTAATGGTGAAGCCTAAATTAGCCAAGGGTTCTTAAAAAGACAAAAGAGAACAAAGATTAGAAAAGAACATACAGGAAAGCCATCGGCTTGTTGCACGAATTGAACCCAAGCATGAAATCAAGTGTGGAGCTCTATTTGGAGTAAAATCCATCACTATAATAGCTTCTCGAATGCTTGCAAGAATTGTGCAAAGATACTGTCAAGAAATCTTTTAAGGCAGTCCCTGTCTACCAGTCCCTTCCCATTTCCAATGCGGCTAGCATTATTCTGATGTAAAACCCCACGTTATGTGATTCAGTGATTGAAGTTCGGGTTCGCATATTGATTTCTCTAAATGCATACCTGTGCTCCCTTGTGTATGAATTTCTGATTTAATTCCCTAATATTGAGGATGACAATATTATTGCAGGCATTCTTCTGTTATTTGATAACCTCCAGGCTGTTTGCATTGTCATGTGGAGCAGGTGAGTCTTTGACCCTTTAACTTGTTAAATCTAGTATAATAATCCTATACATAATTGAATGATGGCTTTTAAGCAAGCATCTCTGCCCATTATTATCTACTATTGCTTCATAGCTTTTTATCAGTCTTTTTGCCACAAATCTCAGCCATCCACAATCCATGAACACCCGATAAGTTGAGCCAGAGTACAAAACTAGTATTCTTACCTTCTAGATGGAATTACCACCGAAATGGCCACAATTTGGTTTTGTGTTTGAAGTCCAATCTGCCTGAAAATCTTGCTCCTAGTATTATATATGTTTATTTGAATTATCTTTCCTATCAATTAGGGAAACAAATAGAAATAAGAGTTACTGAAGTTTGTTCCTCGTATGCATTTTGTACGTGGATTCTATTCGCTGAAGGCTCACAGCAGCATCATTAGAACCTTGTTCTGGTGTCCACTTTAGCCTTAAGAACTATAGAAACTTCTATAGAATTGTATGCATTGGTTAGAAATTTCAAAGTGGTTTAATAAAGCTGGTCATGGTCGGGCTAGGCCCTTTGACAAGAATTGGGCAGGGTCAGAAACCTTGCTGTCCCTTTTCTAAAAACAATTTATTTGTCTGCTGGTTGCAGAAAATATTACCTCATTAATGAATCACAGCTGTGAATGTCCACATTGTGATACTTTTTCTTTCCTGCAGCTATTAAGCGCTCAGAAGCGAGAAAGTTCTTGGATCTTCCAATAGCGCCCGCCCCTAAATCTTCTCCTCATACATCCACCTCACAGTCCCAATCCGAGTCTTCCTCAGATTCAAGTTATAAGGCCTCAGGAACACATTTCTCATTGCAGTTATTTAGAGTTATGATATTTTGTCATTTAGAGGGAGTATGTTAGACGATAAGGTCAGACAGATGTAATAGAAGACCTCACACGCAATGTGTTATGGGAATCCATTCAAGTGAACGTATGTAATTGAAGCCGTATTCTATAAGGGAAGGTAGAAATGCGCATGTAAACTGTGTACCTACTAAAAGGCTCCAATCTATTGTATAATATTATCGAGATTACAGCATGAATCGGATCCTTGCTCTAACACGATGTCATGAAAATGAAGTATGTATATTTGCTATATTAAAGATATTCCATTATCCTTCGTTCTAATCATTTACTTGTACTTCATATGAATTATGTGCATATGCTTTCTTCTTCTTCCCCATCTTTTTGGCCTAGTTTTTTCTACTTGTTTTTGATTGGTTTGGTGTTACAGTAGTTAGCAATATAAGCTTGCATTTTCTAGACGTGTTTTAAATAATATAGAGTACATTGTTAAATTCCATTTCTTAATCTGTTAAGATTTCGGTGGGACAATATTAAGAACAAAGTGAGTATTTTACAAAAGCTAACCACAATACACAACACAAACACCAAGTAAGGGCTGAGTGGCTGACAACTTAGCATGCTTAAACTACTCCCTCTAAATGACAAAATATCAGAACTCTAAATAACTTTTAATTTTTTTTTATTTTTTTTATTTTTTTTTTATTGAAACAATAATAACTTGAGTTTTAAATGACAATTATGAAGTCCATATTAATACCTATTCATTCTTCTTTTAAAAATTTGGACTCTTACAAATAGTGTTTGAACAATTACTGTATAATTTATATTCTCTGAAAATATTTAAGGGTAATGTTATATGTAGTCCTAAGCTTAAGCATTACATACACTCTTGAAAATGGTATAAAATTAGAAATTCATGACAAAATCACACGTAAATCAGTGTAATTAATGTTTATATTTTTATAATTTCTTAAATTTATACGATTTTCTAATGTGTATTTAATGCTTATATGTAGTTTTAAGGGTTATGTACATCATTTTTCAATATTAAATATTTATTTATCCTTATTACAAAGTAATAATTTATCACTTCTTTGAACTCTGAGCATGTGGAAATTTATACTTTCAAAAACATTGGTTAGCGAAAGAGTAGCTCTTCTACTTACAAGTTATTCTCAAGGATAAGCAATTGTGATTTGGGGACAAAATTGAAAAACTTTACCCTAAAATCGTTAAAATCAGTGACGATTTTAGGATAAAACCGCTAACTCTAGTAACTAGTACTCCCTCCGTTTTTTTTATAGGCTAGAGGTGAGATTGCGTAGAGTTTTAGGTAATTTAATAAAATAAGATGTTAGTAGGGTATATAAGGTTATTATTTTATTGAAAAGTAAAGTGGCATGAGAGGGAGTGGGGACCATTGGAGGAGTGAGGAATGATAAAGTAAGAAACAGTGGTGACATTGGTAGATAAAGATATACGTAGTATTATTCAATGATAGGAGATTTTCAAAAGTAAAACTCTAGCTTATAAGAAAAAAGTACGAAAATAGTAATTCAAGCTTATTAAAAAAAACGGAGGGAGTAATAGTTTTACGCACAAGATCATAATTGAGTTCTAAGTGGTTAGATTCTCTTTTTCACATGAAAGCAAAGGGGACAATTAAAAATAGATTACAGAGTTAGAAAAGTGTAATTAATTATCCTAAGAATAATGTTATTGGGTGTAATAGAACTATAGAATTAGATAAGATCAACTAAGTTTGGTATTATTGCAATGTGTGAATCAAATAGTTGCTTAGATTCGCCACATAAAATGTTTGATGACATGCATTTTTGTAATGTGTATATATAGTATAGGAATATATTGCATATATAATATGTCAATAAAAAATTATTTAATTATGTAATACGTAAACAAGGTGAATTATCTTAAATCTAGTATTCCATACTCTATGGAGCAAAATTTTAAAAAATACTTATTAAACTCTGTTCTATATTCTTAGGTTGGTGATCGAGTCAAACTAAAGACGAGTTTTCAATTCTTGGTTCGACATCTAAACTTAGTTCTACTTTCAAAGCTAAATAATCATAGAAATCACCATTGGTTGGAACTTCAGTAATAGGTTAAGCAAGTCTAATACGGAGTATAAATACTTGGGAGAAGAATCAAATTGGATAAAGAATAATAAAATAAATCTTAATTAGTTAAATTTTTATGAATGATACGTAAATATTATTAGACTGAGCATTGTTTAGTCTAATTTAAAACTATTTTTTTCTACCAAAAGAAAAAATTATTTAATTGATATTCTATAATACTGTATCTTCATTACAAAAAAATACTATATAAAAAAATTGCTATCCACGAAATTTAAATGTCGGCCGTATGAGTATAGGATAGGTAGTGCTAAACTGCTAGTGGCATACGTAGCGTACTAAAACAAGCCTACTAATTAATTAAGGGCTACTTCCAAGTTAATATCAGGGGATTAGAGGCCCCACTTTGTTTAATTATCCTTCATTGTCAAACTCGCAATCTACATTCTACATGTATGTTGGGATTAATTGTCTCTCATCAAAATATAAGAAAGAAGACGATATTATCAATATAATTGGTTATAGAATAGAGTTATAGAGATGCAGACTAGAGTTTGTATGTGATCAAACTTAACAATCCATTAAACATTTAATATCTATCACTATCATTAGCATGTGGAAAACAGCCATGTAATTAAGCTTGTCTTATTATTTTAAAATGTTTTAGTTAATGACAACTGGAAATCTAAACAGTTAACTTAAGTCCCATGATTGATAGTGTCTGACTTTGTTTCTTAAGTACCATTATTGTCTTTGTTTTCGTCCCGTAATTAGAAAAGATTTTCTTAAGTACCATTACTGCCTATAATTCGTAATGGGCATAATTACGCTCATCGATTACCTTAACTATAATTATTATATAAATGCAAGATTTGATCGAAATATTAACATATCCAAATATATATTTTCACTTTTATGACTAATTAATCAATAATGACATTCGTTATTACTTGTATATCATTACAATAACCAAGTAATGTGTGTATGAAGTCGGATCAAGATCAAGAAATCCTTCGTTTTATTTAATTTTATGTAATTATGTATTATATTGTATCTATATTACTGCCTGAGATATTAATAAAATATAAGAATTTTATATTTAGTATTATTAATGCATGGAATTACTTTCATTTACTTATATATCAGGACGGTCTTTCTAGATAATTTATTTAATGAATGAAATTTATACTAGTAACATAAGAAATTTCATACGAATTGAAGTATTTAGCATTAATGCATGGTATGTTGAATATATAAATGCAAATATTTGGATGACTTTTTCCTTAGAAAATTAAACTCTTATCGATCTTACTTCTAATATATATATATATATATATATATATAGCTCTGATTAACATCTTTCAATCAATTTTTATTTTTTATTTATAGTTATTTATTTTACAACGGATTCAAGATAAGAACATAGAAATTCTTTTAATTTCTTGTTAATCAAGTATATAAACACTATCACTACTCCACAACAATTTAATAAATCTTTAAAAGCAGTCTTGCTTTCCTTTTGCTATTGTAAAAAAAAAAATAAAAAAATAAAAAAAAAATAAAAGCAGTCTTGCTTATATTTTGTATGGGTTTACGACTAGATATTATCCTATTCTACCAAAATAGCAGCCTGTATATAAATATGTTTTATACAACTAGCAAATTCGTTGGAGTGCACGCAAATTCGTCATCAAGAATATTCTCATGTAATACATATTTCTAGTAACTATATTACACTTCATGGATGATGTAGTTGTAGTTGTTCCCTTCTTTTTTCTATTGGCCAACGTATGTATTGTAGACTTGTAGTGTTTCTTATATACATACTTCTACTTTCCATAATTCACCATTTATTCCATTTGTTTCAAATATTTCAACCAAATTGTCAAAATAGACTTTTCAACCTGAAATTTGTAAACTGTTGACCATAATTTTTATACATAACATGTGATGTGGATTGCGACGATACATATTAAAAATTTAGCATTTGGTCTAGAATAAGCTTAAAATTAAAGAAATATAACCATCGAAGCTAAAGTATGGTTCATAGCTAGTATCTAGGTTTGCAGACTGGACATGAGGCACGACTCACACATCCGACATCTTTACATACAAAACTACGCAAGATTGATAGACCACTATTAAACAACAATTTGTATGGAAAAAGATATATAAATATGTCATATCTCATTCACGAAGACTAATTTTCCTTGAAAAAATATAATTTGTCTAATTTGATATGTATTTGTTTGATTTTGAATTTGATTGTAACCTTTGTATGACTTTAAATTATGAATTCATTAATTACTTAAAAATCTACAAGTTATAATAAGGAAAACAATAACAGATCATCATTCATTAGCCCAATACATGTATTAAGTTGAAAAGAACATAACCCGCTACCTAGTAGCTACGTGTTTAATGATACATTGATACCGAACGATCTTGTGGCGACTTTGGTAAGGAGCGTTATGGGCACGCAATTTCCAAAGGGCGTGGACAATACAAAATATTCCACCAAAATAGCAGTCATATATATAAATCACGAAATTATGGATAAAGCCTACTTATTTATAACATACACAACCATTTTAATCCTCTCCTCCAACAAATCACATTTCTCCAAAATATTTAAAAATGGGTGCCGGAATTTCATCGGAATCCTCCACCGATGGCGGAGATTCGCCGGGACGTCGTCGCAAACTCGAAGACATACCGGAAAGTTGTATAGCTATGGTGTTGGGCCATTTTGACCCGCCGGAGATTTGCCGGTTGGCCCGATTAAATCGGGCCTTTCGTGGCGCTTCTTCGGCTGATTTTATTTGGAATACAAAACTTCCTTCAAATTACTCATTCATAGTTGATAAGATTTCTGAGTTGAATCATGAAAATGATAATGATGATGATATGAAGAAGAAGAATTATGGTAGTATGAATAATAATAAATTGATGGGTTTAACTAAGAAGGATATTTTTGCCCGTCTTTCTCGTCCAAACTTTTTTGATTCCGGCATTAAGGTGATTCATATTCTCTAGCTTCTCTTTTTTGCTTACGGGTTATTGCCCATTTGGAATTTATAGTCACGTTAATAGTGTAATTTGAACGTGTCAACAACCGGACGTGACGTTTAAATCCGGTGGGAGTAAATATTTCTAAATGTTTTATGTTAGTTTATGCTAATCTTTTTTTTTTGGTAAGTAAGTAATTTTATTACCAGAAAAGAAAGTTATAGAAAATACACAAAGTAGAACTATAACCTCCAAACTACACAGCCCCCAATGGGCACTCCACCACCCCATCCTCTTTTCTGAAAAGCTCACCTTCTAGGAAGGGTATCTAAACAGAAAAGGGGAGAAGAAAACAGTACAAACCTAACCTGAACTCAAGTGTTAAGGCATCTTCTAGGAGGGCACTTAACAAAAGGAACAGGACAACAAAAAAGGCTCAAGACAGAACACAAAAAAGCCACTAAAAAAAAAACAGACTCAGGAAGGCATAGTATTCCTTAATTTCCTCAACCATTGACAGTGCTTTCTCTTCCACTTCTGGTTGATCAGTTGGTGGAAACGATCTACAACTTCTGAGCAAACCTTATGGCATAAGATCTCAGGAATCTGAATAGCATGGTTCCAGAAAGCAGTATTTCTAACAGACCAAAGCTGATACACTAAATCTGCAAGACTAGCAAAACTGATCTTTCTGAAAATTGGATCCTTGAAACATCTCTTCCAGTGCTTCCATGTTTTCTGAATATCAAAATGGACTTCTCTGACTCCAAGCCATTTCCCTATTAGCAGCAGGCATCTTCTACTATACTGACAATCAAAAAATAGGTGTTTATGACTCTCCACTGCAGCATCACATAGAAGGCATCTATCAGTGTTACTAATTCCCAATTTCATCAGAGTATCTCTGGTTTTGAGTTTGTTAAGCATAGTTAGCCAAACTATAAAAGAAGTTTTGGGGATGTTATATCTATTCCAGATCCAATCCGTCCAATCCACCTTTTCAGCACTGTTCTGCATCCATTTATCCCTGTGAGAGCTCCTCCTTAACATTACAAATCTTTTTCCAAGCCCACCCATCAGCTTTCTTTGGTTTATAGCTCCACCAATCTTGATTCTTAATATAGACATTGTGCACCCATTTAACCCAAAGAGAGTCTTTTTTCTTAGCAATCTGCCAAATATATTTGCCTAGGGCTGCCTTGTTCCAGCTTTCACAATCCCTAATTCCCAGGCCACCAAATTTCTTTTCCATACAAACATTAGCCCAAGCAATAGGGGGAGCTTTAGACAAAATAGCAGACCCACACCATAAAAAATCCCTGCAGAGCTGGTTGATTCTTTGAATAACAGTTTTTGGCAGCAAGACACACTGAGCCCAGTAAGAGTGAAGGCTAATAAGAACAGAATTTATTAAGACAACCCTTGCTGAGTAAGACAACCCTTGCTGAGTAAGATAAGTTCCTGCTTGACCAACATACCGATCTATGTAGCATTTTGTCAATAAGCACATCAAAATCAGCCACCTTTAAGTACTTTGAGTTTAAAGGAACCCCAAGATACTTAAAGGGGGTTGATCCTTCCACAAAACCAGTGAAATTCAGAATGCTAGCCTTTGTACTGTCATCTACATTACCAAAATAGATTGCTGTTTTTTCTGAGTTTGCCTGTAACCCAGACACCTTATTAAACATATTCAGAGCTCTAAAAATCAAACCCACTGAATTCCTGTCCCCATAAGTGAAGAGCATCAAATCATCTGCAAACATGTGATTGAGACTTATAATGAAACTTAAAATGTCTCAGTTTCCCCACTTTCCTGAGTAGCCTTGTGAGATATTCCATGACTATCACAAACAAAAGAGGAGACATGGGATCCCCTTGCCTAACACCTCTCTTGCCTTGAAAGAAACCATGAAGACCACCATTCAGTAACAAAGAATAAGTAGGAGAGGACACACAGACCATCACCCCGAGCATGTCTTTAATAAAATCCCAATGAACTGAATCATAAGCTTTCTTCACATCTACCTTAACAGTGCATCTTGGAGATTTCTTTTTTTATTATAATCTTTCAAGACATCTTGACAGATTAAAATATTGTCCATAATTGACCTACCAGTTACAAAAGCACCTTGACACTCATCAATAATAGCAGGCAGAACTTCCTTTAGTCTAGAGCAGATCATTTTAGAGATGATTTTGTAAATCACATTACAGCAAGCTATAGGTCTAAATTGAGTAACTAAAGTTGCATTTTCAACTTTTGGAATCAAAGTGAGAGTAGTAGTGCACACCTGTTTCAGCAAATTACCATGATCAAAGAATCCCAACACAGCTTTACACAGATCCTCCTTCACCACTTCCCAGGAAGTCTTGAAGAATTTACTTGAAAAGCCATCAGGTTCAGGCGCTTTGTCTTCATCTATACTCCACAAAGCCTTTTTAACATCATCAACTCCAAATCTCCTACATAATGCCGCATGTTGATCAGTATTAAGCACAACCCCTTCCTCAATGACCTTAGGATGAACCTTCTGTTGAGGCACAGAAGAGGTACCTAACAGGCCTTTATAGTACTCAATGAATGCATTTGCAATTAGGGAGGGATCCTGAGTAGTGACTCCATCCACATTGATGTTAGTAACTCTATTATGAACTCTTCTGCTTCTCAAACAGGCACGGAAATAAGCAGAGTTCACATCACCCTCCTTAAGCCAATGAAGCTTTGCTTTTTGCCTCAGGAATTGGAACTTAGCTTTATGGGCAGTATCATATTTTTCTCTAGCCACATATTCATCTTGAATGAGATTTTCATTACCAGGATCCAAACACAGCTTTTCTTGACAACTCTGAAGCTCTTTAGCAGCCACTGTATCAGCTATTTCAATGTCTGAAAACTGATCAAGGTTTAACTGTTTGAGTTTAGCTTTTACAGCCTATAACCTCTTTACTAGAATGAACATCTATGTACCCCTGATCTCAGTAGTCCAGGCCTGTTTAACAATGTCATTTTATCCTGGAAAACCAGTCCACATATTAAAGAATCTAAAAGGCTTCCTGACATTCTCAGTTTCCCCAAGCATGGAAATGATGCAAGGACAATGATCCATAAGGCCCTCAGGAAGGAAAACAGCAGTTGTGTTGTTGAAAGCTTCATACCACTTCTCATTCACCAACACTCTATCAATTTTAGTGCACACTCTATCACTACCCTGCTGTTTATTAGTATAAGTGAAGAAAGAACCCCCAGTTTTAAAATCAATCAGCCCACAGTGTCTTAAACAGTCCCTAAACTTCTCCACTTCATTCAAACAACAAGGAGAACCAATTCTATCCCCCAAATTCAAGATGTTGTTAAAATCACCACACACAACCCAAGGATCATCAAAAGTGGCACTGATTTCCTGCATATGGCACCAGAGCTCCTCTCTATGAATAGCCACATTCAGACCATAAACCATGGTACACCAAAAAGACACACCAGTAGCTTTATGAGTAATATGAGTGTGAATACATTGAGATTCAATTCTCACACCCTGAACCAAGAACAAAGTAGGCTGCCAAATGATCCATATCCTGCCTTTATCAACCTTGCTGTAATTAGTTATAACAGACCATTGATTCCTAAAACTCTCAAACACCTTCCCGAACTTCTTAGCCTTCACTTTAGTTTCAATGAGGCCAAACAAACCTATATTGTGATGCTTTAGGAACCAAAGCACATCACAAATTTTACTAGATTGGTTTAGACCTCTAACATTCCAGAATCCCCACTTATCCATATACTTGATAAGAACATTCACCCCTCTCCCACACCCCATTCAAAGCCCTCTTCTTCTCCACCAAACTCACCTGCCCAGAATCTGTAGGTTGTTGTCCTTGTTTATCCAAGACAGTAGTTCCTTCCTGATCAATGTCCTACAGCCCCTCAAACCTATTTTTCACATTAACAACAATCTCAACTTTCTTTTTTACAGTATTCTCCTGCATAACTTGCACTGTCTTTTGTACAGGTTTTTGCACAGACTGTTTTCCTGTTCCAGGCATAGCTTCCCCTTTAGGACCATGGTTTGTCTGCATTGGCCTCTGAACAGGCCTCCAGATCTTCTGCTTCTCTCTAAAACTCTGCTGTTTTGGTTTATGTATATTAACTTTGAGAAACTGATTAGGACAGTCAATCTCAACATGCCCTATTCCTTTACATCCAAGACATTCTACTGGTTTCCATTCTGAACAACTTGTTTAATTCGATTGCCCTCCTCATCAAGAAATTCAATGAAATCAGGGAGTTTTCCATTAATTTCAACTTCAATCATAATACGGGCATAAGCAATTCTCTCTTTTTGAGCAGTAACTTTATCAGTTTTAACTAGGTTTCCAATCAAACCAGCAATCTTCATCAGAGCTTCTCTACCCCAAAATTTCAGATCCAAATTAGGTAGACGAACCCAAATAGGAACATCTGACACTTTTTCCTCACGGATTTTCAGATCAGAACTCCATCGCTTAGTGATCACAGGTTTCCTATCAAACATAAAGGGACCAGCAGCCAGAGCTTGTTCTCTAGCATCTCGAGTTCGAAATCTAACTAAGAAAACTCCATTATCACAAGAAGCCACCCTATCAATTCCAAACTTTCCCCATATTCTTCTAAGGAAGCCATTCATCACAGAATACGGGGGATGGGTGCATAACACATAACAAACAATTGCAGAATCCCAAAATTCAATTTCATGTTACACATCCTCTTTAGACAATTGAAGAAGATTAGACCCATTATTACCCATCTGATTATGCATACTGCAATTAGACACTGGTTCTTTAAGGTTTAAACCCTCATCAATCACATTCTTAAACAAACCGCCCCAAGAATTTTCAGAATGTAAAACAGGGGTACTATGCAAAACAGGGGAAGAACAATTGGGGGAAAAAGATTTAGGGCTAGAAAAATACCCTCAAAATTCAGCAATGGAGCAGAACTAATCCCACCATTATTATTACCATCAACACCATGCATATCATCCGCAATCATTAACAGAGGGGAAGGATTGGAAGAACTAATTCCAGAACCCAAAACAGAGTTAGGCACAGGTGAAGAATTATTCACAAAGATTACCTGCAACCATTGATTCAAATCAAATTTACGATGGTCATTGATCTTTTCTGTGACTTCTTGAATCGGAATTTCTTCAATAACATCACCATCGAGCCAACTTTTGGTCGAACCCACATCCGAAATCAATTCTTGATCAGCAACATTTCCTTCGCATGATCGTAATTTGTATCTTTGCTTTTTCTTTGCTTTAGAGGAAGACTTCGATCCTGAATTCTTCTTTGCCTTCCCTCTTTTACGATTGGCCATGGCCCAAGCAAGCTTTGCAAGTAAAAAATGGCGGCAAAAAAGCTTTCTCTCTCTAGCTTTCACTCTTTAGTTTATGCTAATCTAATTATGGATGGTGATTGTATTTTATGTTCTGAATTCTTGATAGTCTTTAACTATTAATGCTAACCATTGAGTATTCATAGAGAGAATTCAACTTTCAAAACACTTTAGGGGGTTATTTATTTAGAGGTCTACATGAAAGGTAAGAGAATCAAGTAGGTTGATTCCCTTATGTCTTATTTTTTTAGGCAAATCTATCATTCCCTTTACCCTCTCCTTACCTCCAGAGTCCTCCACATCCATTCCCACCCACCCCAACCCCACCCCCCCCCCCCACCCCCTAAAAAAAGGTTTTACTTACCCTTCACACAAGACCCACAAAACTACCCCCTTAATAGCCCCCAACTACCCACTACCCACTACCTACCCTAACACCCACCAGCCACCACGAATTTAATAAGAAGGAAGAGAAGCTGCCAGTGCCAAGAAAGAAAGAAAGAAAGAAAGAGGGAGCACGGTGGTGACCGGTGAGAGAAAGAAGAGAGGATGATATTATATTGTTAACCTAAACAACATAAGACATCAAAGAATTTTTCTATCTTTCTTCTTCTATCCCTTTCTTGATGCCATTTCCTTTCCCCTTTGCGAATCAAACTCCCAAAAAATGCCTAAATCATGTGCCCCTATATCCTAAAGCAACAAACACACACACTCTTCCAATTCATCCTTTCCTTTTTCCCAGACCAATAAGAATCTTCAACATGTTCTTACACGTAACACAGATCCTTTTTCATGGAAACACCTGTATCTGGTTCAAGTAAAACTTGCCCTTTCACAATTCCAATCATAAAAACATATGAATTTTCACCAATCACCATTCACAAGGGTAAAAGAAAGTTGTTCTATGATATGACATAACAAGAAAACTTGCATAATTTCTTCATTCAAATAAAAATTTATTAAGCCTCATCATACCCATAGTTTTTTTTTTTTTTTTTTTTTTTTGGAAAGGGCATCATACCCTTAGTTTTAGAAAGCATGAGAGTTAAAACTCAATTAGGACCATTATTCATCCATAGGTCGAATAATTATGAATTTTAATGGGGGATAACCAATAAAGAAATATTTCTTTTAAAAAAGCATGGGGTACGAGGGGTGGGGGGAAAGAAGTGGAATCAATCAATAATATATACTAAAAGACACACCAGCAATGACACATGTGATTTCCTGGTGTGTCCCTTATTTTTTTTATTTTCACATAGAATATAAATTGTATACATAAATAAAAAAAAAAATTGATATGCCTTATATATATTTAGGGCCTATTCCGATTTACTGAAAACAACTTAACTGAATAGAGCTGTTTATGAGAAAAGGAAATTAGGAACTGAATTGATTGGAGCTGAACTGAACTGAAATTAAGCTGACAGGGGCCCTTACTGCCAACTAAAAACTAAATTGTAAAACAAATTTCTTATTAACATAAATAAAATATTTAATGTGTCCTTCCATAATACTATGAATGGTAAAATGCGTATTTAGAAAAAATCTGTTTGGCAAATAAGCTTTTTAATAATAAATTCATTATTATTTAAAAAAAAAATCACTATAATATATGTAAATTTACTTATACAGTATCAAATTAAAAATAATTATTAAAAAATTTAACCTAGTAGGTCACAATATAAGAGTAGATTCATTTCAAGCAAACTAAATAGATTATAGAATCAAGCAATCAACAGGCTTAGAGTAGAAAATACTTTCAAATCGACAAGGCCAAAAGAAGTTCATACTTACAAATTTTTCATATTTCACATTTTCATACGTCATGATGCAACATGCAACACATACAGCTGATAATCAATGCCAACACAGCTAGGGTATATAGTGCACTGGTCAAAACTAATACAAGCATACAACATAAAAATTAATTAATTAAATTAAAAGAACACTGCTGTTTAGTGAATCATAAAATCTCTTTTCTTCTTTGGTTGCATATTTACTTTGAAATTTGAATACAAGCTTACTATTGTTAAATATTGAAGAGACTTATAAAATTCTGGGAGACACTTCATCTTAAAGTATGAAAACATAAGTGAGAATAAAACAGACAAATATGAAGACACACCCACCTATTACCATGCAATGATCCATCATCCTCTACAAGGGCTGCCAAAGAAGCATGAGCACAAGCAGCAGCAACTCAGGACCTACAGCAGAAGCCAAAAAAGCAACCTGGAAAATGTACACTATCGATCAGAAGTTCAGAACCTACGAAGCCAAAGAAACAAAATCACTAGAATGTTAACTCCAAACAAATTAAATAACAAAAAAAAATTAGGGTATAGGAAAAAATAAAAATGAAGAATAAAGAATTAAAGAGGATTATGATGTATGTCATTGTCAATATTTCAAGATGCTAAACCAACTTCTAAATTAAGGGGAAAAAAAAATAAAGAAAATCAAAGTTTTTCAAAAACTTCAAACTAGACATGTTCAAAGGATCGGGGCCCCAACTAAGGCCCCTACACCACTATCATAGACGGGTGAGATCGGTAAATCTTGTAAAAGGGTTAAGCTTTTAACGGGGCGGCCTTATATGGGTTGAAAAGCTCCAAAGGGAAAAATAAAATTGATGACACGTATGTCAATTTCACACAGGGCAGCCTAATATGGGTTGGTAATGGATCGGAGCAGGCTCTTAAAGGGTCACTCCTTAGTCCTTATTCATGTTTCATAACCCTTGAACCTATCCTCGATTATTTTTCACCCACCAAAAATCAAAATATCAATTCGAAATAATTATATAAAAAAAATAAAAAATAAATAAAAAAGAGAAAGAGAGAAAAACTTTATAAACTTACATATCTACACAATTACTCTGTTAGTTTCATCAATACATCAATTTTTTAAAAATCTTTAGATGAATAGGTGTTAGACATGAAGTTTCAACTCACCTTCGCTCATATCAATTAACTATTCCTAAAAAAGATCACGCTGATTTAATGTAAGTGGGTTACTTGTTATTTTATAGGAGCACATATAACAATAATAACTAAAGGGAGCAACTTATTCATGGAGGCCAAAAGTAAGCACTTTTCGCATTTCTAAAATTCTAGTTTTGTAGTATAGTTTCCACTTTCTAGTAAAAGGAAAAGGTAGCCAAAAAAATTTGAACGACAAAAACGACAGGTTGGAACCTGAGAAAGGCTAATGTTTTTGTCGTTTAAATTATTAGTCATTCACCCAGTCCCAAGTTCAAATTGTGCTTATTTTGATTTTTAATTTTGTCGTTTAAATTTTGTAGGTGCACACATACAAACGATATGTGATACATGGAGATATCTTGTTGAGAAGGGTTAATGTTTTTTGGTATATGTTAGGGTTAACTAATTTCATCTAATTGCTCTCTCTTTGTTTATGACCCCACAACTCCCACTTTAAATGCCATTGAGATTCTAATCTATGTATCTATGTTCTGAAAGATTTTCAGATTTCGATTTTCTTAACTCCAATGAGAATATAATACATGAAACACTAAAACCGACGATTTTTTTTTTATGTATTATTATACATGAACTTTAGCTAATTTTGTTTATGAAACCGTGCATCACACGGGTGGTAACCTAGTTTGGAATAAGAGTTGGAAAATTCTGAAAAATACTAGAGGAAGAGAGAAAAAAATAACAAGGAAAGAGTATGCAGGAGAGAGAAAACAGAACCAAAAAAACCCTCGTCGTCGCCTCTTCGGCCATTGATGTATTGATGTGTTTCTAGAGCTTCTCTCTCCTATTTGTGTGAGAGCTGAGCAACAAGTTTATCATGACTCAATGTTAAAAATTCTAATAAAGGCCCATTTAAGACCCGTTCACTTCACCTTATTTTTGCTGAACTGAAATTATTTTTACTAAATTGAAATTATTTGCTTAACTTAAATTATTTTTACTGAACTAAAATTATTTTTGCTAAATTGAAATTATTTTTACTAATTTTCTGTTATATTTCTTATTTAAGTTTACTAATTTTTACTAAACTGAAATTATTTTTACTGAACTGAAATTATTTTTGCTAAACTGAAATTATTTTTACTGAATATTATTTCTTTTAAGGTGAACAGGGCCCAAGTGTTGATAAGTTTTTTTTGTTTTTTTTTTTATAATAATTTAAGAAGCCTATTTAAGTTCAAAACAAGCCAGGGCAGACCCAGATCTATTTAAATATTTATCAAGGCCTGCCCTGAACTGCCCCATTAAGATCTGACCGCGCCCCTTACCTGCCCCATTA